CGTGCTATCGTTATTGCTTTATCGCGCTATCGACATCATGTCATCGCACCATCGCTCTATCGACTATATAGATAGGATGGCATTCTCAGCAGGTAGTTAATTCGAGCAAAGATTTGATTGCCCAGTGATAATTTACTGACTTTAATTTTGTATTTGATAATCATATTTTAAATAACAAACACGAAGTACCAAGAGGAGAGAGGGAGGAAGACTTTTGTTTTGTATTTGCTTTAAATTTTCTTGATTGTGAATACTGTATTTAACGGTGGTAAAATTTCACGCTTTTTCTGAAAGTACAATAGCGATGGGTTTAATTTCACAAGGGACCTATATACTAGTATATAGGTCCCTGGTTTCACGATGCAAGAAATTAATTTAAATATCGTATAAGCAATTACTTGTTTTAATAGTTAATATGATAGCATTCACGATGAGTTTGATTTTGCAAAAAAAATGAATCGCGAACGTAGTGAAAGTAAAACCATCGTAATTATTTCCCACGTAATTATTTCCCAATCTACAGTATTAACCCCCCCCCGTTTGGAAACCAAAATCTAGATCACGCGGATTTCGATTTCTTTTACATCATTCACAATATGAGTGTATTGTTAACTTTATCTTGATTATCAAACTATATTTTAACAATCTTCTAACTTGTTATATGTCTGGGAATAAAGACATGGTTAATTTTTATGCCAAGTGAAGTTAATTCACCCAGTAAGATCTATTTCCGATTTGTATTCTGTTCATACTTTCACAAACTGACGCCATTTCTCTTCTCAATGGCGCATGCGCAAAAGAGTCGATAGCGCGATAGTGCGACAATGCGATGACGATAGTGCGATAGAGCACTGATGATGACACGATAGAGCATCGCTTCATCATTATCGCGTTATCGTATCATCGCTATCGCAGCATCGCTATCGTACCATCTCGTCATCGCTCCATTGCACCATCGCTCCATCGTCATCGCACTATCGTGTCATCGCACCATCGACTCAAACCTCGATGGTGCGATAGTGAACTGCATGGCCCTATCCGGATTCCATATGTATAACGGAAAAGTGCTGTCATCAGCGTGTTGAATACATTTGATTTCATTTTCAAGTGAGTCAATGCTAAAACCTTTTATTTCTGCCAAAGCATTTATTTTCAAGGAAAGCACTTCCATAACAAAAAGGAATAAGAGCGCTGATAAATATCAAAGTTTTATATAGGAAATATATAGGAAAAATCTTTGAAAATCTTCTTCTCATTTGAGAACCACATGGCCAGAAAAGCTGAAACTTATGTGCACATGGAAGCATTCTGTGGTAGTGTAGATTTCAAAAGATCTAAATTATGATCAGTGGGGTAGGGTGGGGTCGCAATATGTATTACAAGGGGGAAATCTGGTAAAGAACAAAATGGTCAAAGCTTCTCAGAAGGCCCATGGGCCTCTTGTTTTTCAATCTGATTAAAATGAGATCCTTATCTTTAGTGTACAAGGGAAATAGAGGTTTTCTCAGCGAAATTTTTTTAATTAAATCCATGGGTAGAACACTCAGCTATAGGAATAGCGAAAGACGCTGTCAATGTTGGCATCCAATATATAAAAAAGCGTCTTTAGTTGAATGGTAGTAAACATAATGTCTAAATAAATCTTCACAAGGTCCCATTTGTGCTCAAGATTGGTTCCTAACAAATATATAAAGAAATAAGGGAAATTAAAATCTATGCATCAGCGAAATTCCGTATTTTAAGAGGGAGGTATCCAATTTGTTTTTAGGAAAAAGGAAAAGACACTTTGCAAGTGTCATAAGGCGACACAATACATTATGTAAAATCTGATAATTTGTTTATCTATGCATATATCTGCTTGAAGTTTGGTATGTTTTCTGATGAAAAATGTACTTAAGAGAAGTAAAAAAATTTCATCACAGTGAGAATTTGTCCGACTTTACTTTTTAGTACAAAATATAAATTAAAATGTATGTACATGTATTGTGAAAAAATGAAATAAACTTTTATGATTTCCATATCATTTTACAAAATTAATTCTCTTGCTCCGAAGGAGTCCATCCTTTAGTCGCGGATTCGACTCCCACTGCGGGACACGCCCTTAATTCATATCATATGTTGCTGTAATTGCTAGCCAAAAAAATATCCCTCACTGCTCAAAATTTTTTTCTCTGTACAGTATACTTCATGTTTATACAGGGTACATAAAATACACAAAAATATGTGTCATTAATACTTGTTATTCTGATGCTCACCGTTGTGAAATACAAACTGTTAAGAAATCTTCCTATACTTTATACATATTTTGTATTTTTGCATGACTGCAATACTGTTGCTAAGGATTTCTTTAATGTCTGCAAGATGAAATTTTGAAATCTAAACCTAATAGATTTTAATCCTTGAGATAACAACATTTAACCTTACAACATCCCTCTCCCTCAATATTTGTATGCATTTTAAGTTGTTGCTGGGGATTTTTGGTTGCCATAGCAAATAAAATTCTGTCTTTCACCTACATTTTTAGATAGTTTCTAGGAATTTAATGATTTTTATCATGTGTGTGTGAGTTACAAAATATGGAACACTTACATAATTCTATAAATAAATGTTTTTGATATTGACTTTAAATTCAAATCATGGTTAAGTTCGATATGTTGCTAGGCAACCAAATTACAGGGATAACACCGAAAAAATATCACTTCCTGTTAGGATTGGGTACACCCTTGGATTACATATTGTATTAGTTTTTTTGAAGAGGGGGTCTGCATTGGCTCTTGTCCTATCTTGTTTTTTAAAATAAAGGGAAAATGAACTGAGCTTATGTACTGTTAAATCAATTGATTTTTGTTCTTTGCAACAAGAAATAAAGAAAACCAAACACAATGGCATTCTTAATCTGCATCATTTATTGTTACATGTACTTTACTTTCATGCTTACCAAAACAATGACATTCAATGAATATAGTACTCATTTAGCACTTTAAAAATACATCAAATTAAATAAATTATAATTTTTTATGCACTAGTATTACAATCCACAGTACATGTTTCCTTTAAAGTACATGTAGGCTAATTGTATTCAGCGCGTCGGTGCGCCAGGTACTATTAAGTTCATAACTGCTGGAAATATTTTCTTTCCAAAATAATTAACATTCACATTTTCCAAAACCTTTGAATGACTACATGCACTTAGAACAATAATTAACCAGTTGTTCTTGAACAGCATTTTATATGTATAAGGAAAAAATTTTAAATTATAGAAACTTTTAAGTTAACTAAATATAGAAAACATATTTGAATCCAAATAAATATACAGTCATGTTATTAAAATATTTGTGCTTCTGGTATTATTTAAATGTCAAAAATTTCACATTCATACACCTTACTCCCCTATGATACAGACCAATACACACTGCCTCCACTTAATTAACAGACATCTACAATACATTTCTACAGGTAAATCGCAGCACAACTTACAGTGTGGACTGCTCTCTTTGTAATTAACACACAGACAGACATCTACTATACAGTTCTATATATGAATCGCAGCACAGGTTACAGTCTGATAACTACAATTCAATACCTTTACTTTTAGACACACAATTTCATTCTAGTTTATATGCAGTGAACCAAAGAATATTTACAGCACTATTATAAGGAGAGAGAAAATGGTGTATATTATAGCACTACAACAATAAGGAATCTAACACACTACAGTTTATATGTACAAAGATGAGGTGTTAGAAAATTAACTAACTGAAAGACAAATCAACAAAATCGGTTATTAGATTTGGTGAAATATGTCATCAATGCACAATACTTAAAAAACATAACTCAAAATTATATGAACAAATAAACAATTATTTACCGAGGATAAAGGCCAACTTAAGTGATTTTTCCCACACTTCAACATCATCAAGAAATCAATCAAGGATTATTACCATTTTAAACTTTAATTGCTTTAAAGATATATTTGTCAAAATATAAACCTTTGTCTCTGACATATTCCCTTCCATTGTAGTTTTGGTTTTGAACCTGCCTCTCAAGCATTTAAAATGACAGAGGATAATAAATTATGTTTCTATGACTAGTGTTAATCTTGTGAACGATGGTGGAATAAAAAGCCAAACCCACGTTAGAGAACTACATTAATGTAGGTAGGTGTATTCATAATTATATTATTATGCATGTTTTCTCTTGACTAATATCAAATTACTTATAAATGAAAAGGAAAACATTATATTAATTGCACACCAAAATATTTCAGTTTGACTTTAAATGTGAAAATATGTTGTTTTAAAAATGTTAAATATAACTTTCTTTAATAATAAATATTCATGCACTATATTTATATTGTTTTAATGTAATATATGTCATATGTGTTTATCCCATTTTTTTTCTACAAGTATGATAATTAGGATTATCCTGCCTCTGATGAAAATCGTGAAATTTCATTGGCCGAGAGCAATACTGCATGAAACGATGTTATGCTGTCTACCCACCTCACATTTCTTATGTGCCCCCTCCACGTGACCTACCCACCGTATATTAAAAATTTACCAACCACACATCAGCAATATACTGCTTTCACGTGACCCGCATGGAGCTTCATAACTGACGTCACAATGCGTCTGACGACAACGTACAACGGATGTAGAACGTCTTGCTTAGACGTTCAGTGAAAGCGGTTTAATTGAATATTATTAAATTTTTAGAGAACCATCGGCAGGATAAATTCGTTATGTAGACACTTAGAGGGGTAATACGGACATATGTGGGGTCCTTGAAAAAATTGCATCTTGGGCTCGGCTTACGCCTCGCCCAATTTGGATTTTTTCAAGGACCCCACATATTTCCGTATTACCCCTCTAAGTGTCTACATAACTAATATTAACATACATGTTACAAATGAAACTCTCTTAATTCATTGAGCAAAACTAAATTCTTTACACAAAATCAGCTCTGTTTTATGTACTGAGTACTCTAATTACACATGACCTAAGAAAAAAAAACAGTTGTAGCACTCATTTTACACACATTTCATTTTGATTTACGAAGTGAATAAAATTTCATCATACGCATAGATGTAGATATACCCATAAAACAACATCAAAGTTTTCTGGACTCTCCTGTAGAAAAATGAAATGTACATGTATGGGTTTTAGAGATGTATATGAGAAGTCTCATTTGTTTCAATGTACATTGATTGAATTGTTTATAATGTTCATGTTTCTGTGAATTCCTGTGTAGCGGGGTAATGATTATAAATCCTTCCTTTGGTTTACGCTAACCAATCATCACCACAGATGGATCTCTCTTATCTCGCCAATAATTTGACTCGCTCGTTGAAGTGCCTGAAAAAATTTATTAAATAAGGAAATGAATTATCTGTAGAAAACAATTTTTGTCAAATAAGCAAAAATAAACTTTTTTATTAACCAAAGAAAATTATTTAAAAAAAAAACTAAGCTCAAAATAGGGTTGTTCAAAACATTTACAGATGGTAGCAGTCTTTGTTATACAGATTATTTTGCAGTTGTCCAATTTTGGGATTACAAGCCCTTGAAAATTCTCACGATATTTCTAAAATTATTAGAATATGGGGTAAATTTATCATCTTTAATATATATTTAAACTTTGGTTTCACAAAGAAAGACAACTCTGTGCTGTCCCACCTGTAACATTTCACTGGCCTCCTTACGCCTCTGTGCTATATGCTCTGATTCCTCCAGAAGGAACTCCAGCTCTTCTTTCTTGTACAGTGAGCTAACGAGCTCGCTCTGTAGATTGTCCTTTACGTAGTTCACCAGGAAGTGCATAATGGCCTTAGGGATCGTATCCTGGACGTTCTTCTTCACAATCAGAAAATAGGATCGGATTAAGCGTTCTAAAGTAAAGAATACAAAACTTTTAAAGGAAAAACAATGCCAAAATATTTCTTAAGGTCAAGATCTAGTAAATGGAAGGTGCCTACAGATTTTTCAAATTTAAGAAATTAATTCCTTTAGCGATGCTTTATAACACTAGATTGATCAAAATAGTTGTTTCAAGGCATAATTTGTAGAAAAACAAGATGAAAACCCATATTTTATATTAGCATTTTCAATGAAAAATTAAGAAAACCAGTATTGAAAATTGGAGTTTTTTCCATATCAGACAAAGAAAATGTATCCAGATTGCCTACAGTTTTTCAGAAAACGGTTATTTTTATGTTCTTAGTCTCTGCTTTAAAATAATGTTAAATATGAGATAGGTATCGGGACTACTTTTCATGTGATTTCAAATTGAATTGCATGAAAATACTTTATTTTCTTCATAATTCTATTAGAGCCGTAAAGTACAGGAAAAAGAAAGTTGAAAGTGATTATGACGTCATAATGGATTTAGCACTGAGAAGTTATTCTAAAATCATTTACTAGATTTTGACCTTAACTTGTGTCAACTGCTTTGTTTTTTAACTGCCTATTTAAAATATGAAAGTTTTACCAAAAAAGTACACATATAATGCCAAAACTGTTTTCAATATATTTCCTTTTATATCAGCTAGTTTTGGAAACTATACTAAATAGATGAGGACTGAAATTTAAATCCATTCCAAATTATATCTAACTGCTTAAACTGCTATTACAATATGTTATACTAAAACATCACTCACGTACCAGGTAAATCATATTTGCAACAGTTCAAAGCGTGTTGATTCTATCATTTCAGAATAACACTATTAACTATAAGATTCATCTAAAGTTTGGTTCTGCTGTTACGTTTGTAAGATATTTACCTATGACATCACAGTCCCGCTGTTCCCTGGGGGAGAGTTTCCTAGATGTAGGCTGGGGCTGTAAGAGATTTCTATCATTGTACTTTAAAAAAACATGGTAATAGTATAAAGAACTTAAAATACATGTCATTACTTAGAAATATTACATTTATACCAAAAATTTCTGACAAAACTTGGGCTCTTCTTGTGTGTACTTCTATGTATAATAAAGAGAAGTCTATCATTATAGTACACTCTACTTGTGTAAGATTCTAATCAGACCAAAACTATAGGAGGAGTAGAGTTTTAAATGAATTCCAAAGACATTTCTATTTACCTTTGCAAGACTGTCGAAAACAAAAACCAATACATAGAATTATGAATCTTGGTACAGTCTACTTGTGTACCAAGTGACAAGTCTAATTAAATTTTATAGCAAGTCTTATTTACAGCAAAAGTACCAGTAGATAAAATTTAGCAGTGCATATGTAATCTCAAACTGTGAGTTTCCTGTGCATCTATTACAGGGTTTAATTATACAAAACTAATTTACCACATCTGACAGGAGGTTAACTCCCTTTACAGCATGTATGGGTGAATCTGGTCGACTGCTTGCTGGGCTACTGGTCTGTGACAAATCATTATGTAGGTCACCCTGACCCCGCAAGTAATTAGAAATTTTACCCGGATTCCCCTTCTGTCAACGAAAGCATCTTTGTAAACAAATCATAGTTTTTATCATGATCTCAAAATTTCAGGCTATTAAAATTGAAAATTTTAAGATTTTTTTAAATGAAAGTCTATATAAAACATTTGCTAATTTCATGGCTGAACTTCATACCTTATGGTCTTTTGTAGATTCATTATTTACATGGAATTCATTTAAATTTTTACTAATTTCCAGTTCTTGTGATCTTTGGAATAAGTTGGCTTCATGAAAATCTGGATGCTTGGTGTTGATATATGCTAACTCTATTGCAACTAAATTTTGTACCTGGAAAGAAATAAACACATGGGCAGATGCAATCGGTATTTAAAATGTGCACCTTCTTGAAAAGATACTTCTATAAGAATTTCATATCATTTATTAATTGTACTCTCTCTCTCTCTCTCAGATATCAAGCATTACTAGAATATCAAAATAAAGAAAACAGTGAATAAATATTCAAATAAAAAGGTTAAACAATTACAATGTTTTCATCTGATAATAAAATATGACTCACCATATTGTTTGTGGGTTGTAATCGCCTTCGTAACAAGTTGGTTACAACATCTACAATCTTTTCATGAAGCTTGGGAAATCTCAACATCTCTTGCTGCATAAACAGCAGATTTATTAATAAAAGGAAAGGTTACAAATCTATAATTATTCCATTAGAAATATGATAAGTCTTATAATGCTGTGAATTAAGAGCTTACTTTAGTACCAGAAATAGCTATATGTATTTTAGTCAGAAGATTCAGCTTGTATATATATCTTAAAACTGCAGCAGACCTTAAAACAATCACCTTAGTGATTTTATAATGAACACCTGTGACCCTACAACAGTCTCCAGTGTGACCCAATAACAATTCCTTCCAATCTAGCTTGTTACATGAATTTTGTTTAGTTAGTAGGTTGATTGTAAATTTCCATACACCCAACTTGAGTAAGAAGTAAATAATATTTATATGTGACAATGCAAAGATTCTCGATATCCAAAAGCATTAACATAACGTCAAGATGCATTGTAGAACGTAATAGTTTGAAAATACCGCTGATTAGCCTTAGGTTTACGAAGAATGTTTTTGATTAAATAGGAAGGAAATTGGTTATTCAGGTTCCATTAAGGGTGTAGAGGATTTTACCTGGCCTTTGGCTTTGGGGTGAATGGAATACAACCCAGGGTAAATCCCCGTACACCCTTGATTGAATCTGAATAACTAATAGTGTGACCCTCTAATAATAACCTGTGTTCCACAGTGCTGTATGATCCTCTGCATTTCCTCATGGACTAGTTCTATACACCGTAAACTGGGCTCCTCTAGACGTCGGATCTGTCGCTTCACAAGGAGCTCAAACGACACCTCTGGTACAAATAGAGCTGGTCTTGGGCCCTAAAAAAATCACACATCCAAATTAGTTTTTAAAGAAACAGAAAAAAATATCATTATATCAGCAAATTTCTAAATACTCAAGACTATATAATTATGACTGTAAACAAGATGATATTCATAGTATATATTAACGTCATCAAAGATTATCAACCCATCTGATCTGGACAGTTAATTTTCTTATTAACAAATTTAAGCATTTATTATCTTTGTTTATTGTTATATTTGTTGAGGTGTAGGTATATAGGGATGTAATCTCCATGTCAGGCTTTGTTGTTAACATAACAATACTGCCTAATACAAACTGTACTAAATGGTCTTTACACTAGAGTGAATACACATATAACTGTGCATATATTTTTTTTAGTTGAAAATAAAAAATTGTTGCTAAATAAATTTTATGAAATTCACTACTCCTGAACTTTCTTTTTTAGTGTATATGTACCGTAGCATTCCTGATAGCTGTGAGAATGTCAAGGGCAGTTAACCCTCCCAGTGGATTGACTGTCTCTAGAGTCCTACCAAAAGTCTCATGGAAAATATAACAAATCCTGGCCCCTCCACATCTACAACAAAACATGGAAGCAAGTGTCAAACAAAAGAGAAATTTTAATTCATCCCTTTTTCTGCAATATTTGATTATATGGAGAGATATATCACAAAAGAGTAAGCTGCTCCTCCCTTGTTACAATGTTGTCAAAGGTTTTTATCAATTTTCCAGTGTACTGTTAGATATGTGAAAATAAGTATAACTTGCTTTAAAGAAATAATTTTCTTTTGATTCATTTCTACTTACAGTTCTGAAGTCTCAATGTTTTTAGAGTTTCCCTCTATGGTGCTGCAGTAAGCTGTGGCAAATCTGGTAATTATTTGTAATAACAGCTGACTCTGAAATATACATACCGGTACTTATTGTTATTAAAAAATACAAAATTGTTCAAATACAGACATTTCTGGGTTTTTTTTTCCAAAATCATTCTCAAGGAGCATATATGTATATACTTGAAAGTGCATTTTTCTTTTAATGTATTACATGTAATATCAAATCTAAATATAATGAAACCCAAATACTGCTATATATTTTACATTTTGTTATTATTCAAATTATTATGACTTCAGTTGCCATCATAAAACTTAAGTCAGAGTACAAGTACTGAAGCATTCCAACTACTTTTTTCATGATCTAATATTCATAAGAATCAATGCATATTCCAAAGTGAACCAAATACAAGCATACTGGCTTTTTTAAAAATTAATTGCACTGTACTACGGTACCATTTTTGGCATAGCACAAGGTATACAAATCATGATTTCAAATTTGACTTTTTAAAATAGTAGATAAATATATAAGTTACACAACATCTGGTCACTACCTTGTCTTCCACTGGTTCTCCGAAGGAATTCAGCAGAGACTGGAACTGAGCGATGGACACATTGACTCGAGTCTTAAGTTCTGGAAGACAGTCCCTAATGTGATGCATCAGCAGCTGAAACAATCAAACCATAACATCTGTCATAGATCAATTTGATTTAATCATTCTTATCTTTAAAATTATCTATAAAATAAAAAGCAACAATTGTGAGATTGGAAATTTCCTTTCTAAAAGATAACCTTTTATATACTTTCACTATTTTGAGTCTAGGCAAAAAAGTGCAGTTTGTTGAAGGCAGCATTGATCAATCTGTCAATAAATTACAATAATTTTTGCTGTGGATCATATTCATTGTTTGAGATAAGACCTTACTCTGTTGAGAGTCCTGGCAAGATACTGAGAACCATGTCGACTAGCTATGGTGGGGTACTTCCTCTGTAGAAATGATGCCTCATCTTTCAAAGTCTCCGACATTTCCTGAAGAAAAAAAGATGAGTTTCAATTCTGAAGACTTCATCATTCCAATACATAGTAGAGGACTTATTAATTTTCTGGAACGACTTTACTTTACCGGTCCCCAGAAAAACGCGCTAAAATGTAGTGTCGCCGAAGGCGACTTCAGTATATATGAGATCGCATGAGCGATCGAAAAAAATTTTAAATACGAGGTTTTTTGGTCTTTTGACCCCAAAATTGAATTCTACGGTGAAAAGTTTAGTTTAAAACTTTGTTTTTAAACAAAGTTTTTAACCTCGTTCTCTGAAAAAAATTAATAAATAGTTGTTTGTTCATGGAAAAAATTGACAAAGAATAATTCTGAACGAAGCGCGTGCGGTGCATGCTTAGTGTCATTTCTTTCGGACTTAGCCAATCTTCTATGTAAACAAACCAAGGAAATGCCTATGAATCTGAATTATGATCTTGGAAAAATTACAGAAACAACTGAATTTCTTAACTTAACTAAAAGAACGATTCACTAACCCTAATCCATCGTATGATATGCAAGGACTAAGACGTTCACGGTTCAGACGAAATCTCTCGGGCGGATGCTAAACTAACCCTAATCAGTCGAATAATGTGCGAGGACTAACCCTAATCTCTCGGATGGACGCGAGACTAACCGTAATCAGTCGAATACTAGTGCGAGGACTAACCCTAATCTCTCAGGTGGTGCAAGACTAACCCTAATCAGTCGAATAGTGAGCAAATTTAATCCATTTCAGTTGAGTGACGTAGTTGTTACGTCATAGTCCAATAAGCGCGAGGATCTTGCGGATCTGGGGACCGGTAAAGTAAAGTCTACCCAATTTTCTTCCTCCCTCTCCTGTCCCCTCAGAAAATTTAATTTAATTTATCTCTGAAGATTCCCTTCTTCCTTTTGAGTGAATTTTCAAAGAACTGATTTAAATAGAGTATAAAAAAAGTCTTCCAAGTCCATATCGAATATTGTTTTTTAAAAAATATTTGGTTCATAACTTTGATGTCATAGCTCTCTGTAAAATCTTTATTATAGCTGATATCTAGTTGACTAGTAGATTATCAGACCCATTGCTTGTTATTACCTTGTTATCAGACCCATTGCTTGTTATTACCTTGTTTTTGTTTATGTCAGCTTGACTTCTGTTGACCACACCTACGATTCCTAGCTTTACAGGTATGACACGCCCACACAAAACCTCCATTGCATCTGTTCCGTGGTCCATAAGGTCTAGCTTTGTCACTACTGCCAATGTACGCCGACCTGAAATAAACATCATTTAAGTATTAAACTTTCAAGTAAAGCCATTTTTAGTCAGTCTGTTTGGGGAAAGCAGACAAACACTTTTTTTTACAAGATGGCCTAGATATTCAATTTTATAATGCTAGTTATTGAGAACAGAATCTCTAAATGAATAGATTTTTTTTTTACCATCTGGGTCTACTTCTTTAGCGAGCTTGAGGGATTCTGAAGTGGCCATGTCCGTGTTGGCAGCACACACTGCCAGGATAATGGAGTTAGGGTTCTGGATGTAATCCATACACAGGTCCCGTATCTGGAGTTCTATGTCTTCTGGCTGGTCCCCCACGGGGACTTTGGTCATCCCAGGCAGGTCAACCAGCGTAAGACTGACCACTTTATTCGAGTAAATTTTCAAACTGATTGGCTCTGGACAAATTCCCTTGATTCAAAAAATAGAAATATGTTGATTCTTCTTGATATCTGTTTTCTTGACTTCTTTACTTTCTTGAAGGATTGAGAAATATAAATAATTAACATGATTAATGTGTGACAAAACTTCATCATAATTTGTAATATGTTGCAAACTTATTTGTGTACAATAAATCATTTCTGAAAGGTAAAAAAAATTATATGTAAATTCATTATGACCTTTGTTCTTCAATTCTATAGCTATAAGAATCCTGATTTTAGTTATGTGACTGTAATTCAAATTCTTTCATAATCACCTTATTGGATCCTGACATTCTGTCTGTTTCATTTTCAATTTCATGTCGAATCTCCTGAAAGTCTGTGTAGATTTTGTTCTTTGTATGCAGGAATTTCCCCCATTCATCTGCTTTAATTGGATCTATAAATAAGCAGTGGAAAGAAAATATAAAATTATAATAATCATGATAACTTTGTGAATGCATTGCATTGTAACACTGATTCATGCTTTGTTTGCAAGCTTGCTGAGCACCTGTTATCTCACACGCTGTGTCATGTGGGTCATTGTATGCCATTTAATGTCATGATTATTACGGTAATACAATTTTAAAGCCATGAAGCTTATTGCTATGATGGTGGTTACTAAAGCTGTAAATTTGCACTTTTTTAGTAAATTGATTCTTTCAGAGAATTGCCACACCATTTCAAGTGAATTCTATTACAAATATATATAATCCATACAGTCAGGATTCTTCTCAATTGATTTTCAGCCCTTATTCATTTTGTTATATGTAAAATAAAATAAAACTGATTTTAAATTTATTCATTATTTCTGAACATGCTGAAGTTGGTATTTGACTATTCCTATCATCTTACCTCCATCCTGTGCTCTTGCCTCTCTGTCACTTTTACTGACGTGTATCAGCTGAAGGATCAAAGGTCGCCGAGTAACAATACCGGTACCTCTAGGGAGGAAATCTCGCCCTACCAAACTCTCAATCACAGAACTTTTACCAGAGCTCTACAAAACATAAACAATGATAAAGTGACAAAGTATATAGAAAGTCAAACAAGATATGTACAAAGTCAGGCAAAATATACAGTCATCATACATGGAAGTTTGGTTATAGTTACAGTTAATGATTTATAGTTCAGCAATTTTTTTCCACCCATTGGGAAAGAGTCCGGTACCGGTTCAATTGGGAAAAAGAACATGGAAGAAAAACAAAGGAGAATTTTCTTTTACTTATGCAAATGCAACGTATTTTGCGTTTATTCCAACTTAATTACCTATTACTGCTTGTTTTAAAGAATAAACAACAAATAATTATTGTTTTTTTATATCAACGTCCCTTGTTTTCACATTGTCATGATTTCAATTGTCAAAATGTATGACAATACGCTGTCTAATCCACTGCTCCCGCCAAAGAACCCGCCATTAAATCTTTGTTTAATACAAAGAACAGTTCCATGGTAATTGATTAATCATTTTAATTCCAGCGCTAGATGGTAAATTATCATTAATTCCAGCTCTTGAAAAAAGGGGGGTAGACGATATTTCTAGTGGAAATCGAACTTTCAAGGATCACGATATTTTGAAATAGTTTTAAATATGATAAAATGTATCTCATATCTTTTCTTATGTTTTACGCAAATAAATAAAACATATATTAACTAATACAAGAGGCCCAGGGGCCACAGCGCTCACCTGAGCAAATCGTCTAGGAAAAAACACAGATCAGAACTGAAAGTAAACTGGGGGGGGGGGGGGGGATTTTATACCCCCCACCCCCAGGGGGTCATGATTTGAACAAACTTGAATCAACAATACCTGAGGATGATTCCCTATAAATATAACGAAGCCTGGCTTTGAAGTACTTGAAAAGAAGATTTTAAAAGGTTTCCCTATATGTTCCTATGTAAAACTTTGATCCGCCATTTTGGCCCCACCCTACCCCCGGGGGTCATGATTTGAACAAACTTGAATCTACACTACCTGAGGATGATTGCACATGAGTTTTATCTTTCCTGGCCCAGTGGTTCTTGAGAAGAAGATTTTTTAACAAGAGGCCCACGGGCCTTATAGGTCACCTGAGTATTGTGCAACAACTTTCAAACAATTAAATTTGGTTCGTGTCTTTAACCAGAGGCCATGAAATTCACTATTCACAATTTTGAAAGAGGCACCATTGCTTATCATAATTAAAGACTTAGCATGCTTACTCTATTTGTAATACGTAATATCCAGAGGAAGATCAGAGTAACATAAGAGAAAATGCACTTCCACTTTATAACCAGTTGTGCACCTCATCCCAAAGGAACCACTGAACCTGGGGCCACATATTTCAAAATTGTGCAAATTTTATCATAACATGGTTGATTAATACCAAAGAGCAGATTTCAAAGCATTAATTTATTTTCAGACTTTGTACCCCCCACCCTCACCCCCGACCCAAGGGGGGGGGGGGCATAAAAAAAACAATTTTGCTAGATGCAACTTTCTTCATCATAAATATATATACTTGGATCATTGGCATAAAACCCAGGAGCAAAGGAAAGACTTTCAAAGAATAAGTTAATGCATTTTCACTATAAAACCAATAGAGCCCCGCCCTAACACCAGAACCCCTGACCCTGGGGTCATAAAATTCACAATTTTGGAAGAGGCACTCTTGCTCATCATAACTATGTGCTTGGATAGTTTATTTCATACCCAGGAGCAGAGAAGAAGATTTTCAAAGAATTAATGCATTTTCACTATATAATCAATAGGGCCCCACCCTAACACCAGAACCCCTGACCCTGGGGCCACAAAATTCACAATTTTGGTAGAAGGCACTCTTGCTCATCATATCTATGTACTTAGTTAGTTTATTTAATACCCAGAAGTAGAGAAGAAGATTTTCAAAGAATAAATGCATTTTCACTATATAACCAATAGAGCCCCGCCCTAACACCAGAACCCCTGACCCTGGGGTCATAAAATTCACAATTTTGGTAGAAGCACTCTTTCTTATCATAACTATGTGCTTGCTTAGTTTATTTAATACCCAGGAGCAGAGAAGAAGATTTTCAAAGAATTAATGCATTTTCACTATATAATCTACGGTATATAGCCCCGCCCTAGCACTAGAACCCCTGACCCTGGGGCCATGAATGTCCAGGAGTAAAGAAGAAGATTTTTAAAGATTGCAATAATTTTAGTGGTTTTGGCTCATCCCTCAGGCCCCAGGGGGGCGGGGACCATAAAATTCACAATTTTTGTTCCCCTTCACCCATAGATGCTGTAAACCAAATTTGGTTGAAATTGGTTCAGCGGTTTCAGAGAAGAAGCTGAAAATGTTCAATTGTTAACACACGACACACGACGACGGACGAAAACGGATAACAATAGGTCACCTGAGTTACTCAGGTGACCTAAAAATGCCATTAATTTTTCTCTAATTCATAATTATCTCCCCTTGGAAAAAGGCCTGGCCCTTCATTTGAATAAATTTGAATCCCCTTCACCCAAGGATGCTTTGTACCAAGTTTGGTTGAAATTGGCCCAGTGGTTCTTGAGAAGAAGATGAAAATGTGAAAAGTTTACAACGACAACGCCGACAACAACGACAACAACAACAACGACGACAGACAATAGACAAATTTTGATCAGAAAAGCTCACTTGAGCCTTCGGCTCAGGTGAGCTACAATTATTTAGCTGTAAATAGTTTTAAAATTGGTGAAAAATCAGCATTTTATTTTTCGTTACAACAAACCATCATGTATGTCTGTATATGAAACTTAAATTGCCACCAACATATATATCAGTATATATATATACTTAATAGAAGAATTGCTCTTCACCACATGTTGTATTCTGTCTATTACTTTAATATTATGTTTATATGTAATTATATATGTTATATGTTTATGCCTACTGGGCCCTGATTGGTAATAAATTCTATTATATTCTATTCTATTCTATAAACATATGTCCCCCCCCATGAAACACAAAAAGCTTTGGCATAAATTTGCAAAATGACAGTCCATATTACCTGTAAAAAGGAATTTTTGTTTCATGAGGGGGGGAAAGATGTTTTAAAAATATTTTCCATTTTCCGTTGATTTCTATAGTGAAAAACACAAGTTTTACCAAAATTAAAGAGTTATCTCTCTTTGGTATCCCAAATAAGTAACGTTTTATGAAAATTCATATAATTATCTATAAAAATTTTGAAAATTATTCTAATATGTTAACTTTTGAGAATTGACTTAGAGGTACGCGGGAGAACAATACTATCGTTCGTAGTTCTTACGACTTTCTCTACTTTCGATTTAAGCCAAAGTGAAACAATTAGTCAACTTGTACAATGTTTCATTTAACAAGAAATACGATGTTGTTGTAATCTTTTGCTTCACTGTTGGATTGGGAATTTTCAGTTACAGAATTGGGAAAAATTATCGATTTTTGGCATTGGGAATGGTGCTGTTTATCGGTACAATTATATATGGGAAAAAAACGCTGTAGTTACTTGAATGGGAATGGACTAGCTGCAGATCTGTAGCTCTCTGAAAAATATATTGACAGACTGGAGAGCTACAGTGCCACCCATTGGAAAAACTGTATATTCATTGCAGACATAAAAGTGCACTGTTTCTTAATTTATTTCTCCATGTTTTTAAACTGTTGTCTCAAAATAATTACTATCTGTGTATTCCTAACATATTATTTCACTAATTCCATGACAAACATCCCTTATAACCATGATAATTGTTGTTAAAAGCCCTCCTGGCCCTGAAATTAAGACCATCTAAAATTTCCTCTATTCATACTGCCATTTTGGTTTCCAAGATAATTCTTCGCAACATGCTTCGTGCAGGTGTCCACTACCAGAGAACTTGACAGAGGAGTAAAGAATTTTTTTAAATCTATTTTTTTTACAATAAAGGCAAAAATTTTGAAGAATGAATACAGAACTAAGCGCAACTTTTTGTGCGCAATAAATATATAGTTTTTTTTTCACTGGATGGCAATGTAGCTCTCCGGTCTGTCAATATATTTTTTCGGAGAGCTACAGTTCTGCAGCTAAGGAATGGACTTGCTCCTAAAACTTAAATAGAAACAGGGATGTCAATACTGGAGGTATAAAATAAAATCTCATCTTGACTTTGTTGAGGTGAACTTATAATATTTCCAGTGAGTTTAAAGAATTTTATCAATTACAAATTTATGTAGGCCTATTAAAAAAAAGAGAGAGAACATGGAGAAATGTCAATAATTTGAACTTCATTTTCATTATTAATTACGCAGACATTCACAATCCCTCTTAAAAATAAATTGGCTAGGTTTCAAAATATCAAGTTTCAGTTTCGATTATTGATTCTGTTATGCAATATTCCTTTTTTTTTATATTCTTGACATTGAAACCGGTATTACAATACATATTTAGGACACCCCAGGGCATCAATGCCCCACTCACCTGATTTCCAATCACTACAATTTGTGGTAGGTTTATGACTTCTGAGCCGACAGTATTAAATACATCTTGAAGTTTGTTTATCACAGGTATAAGTCCTTCCATTTTAAATATAGCCTACATTCAATTTAAGTTGGAGTGTCCGTTTTCCTAATTTAACTTGAACAGGGTCAAGGTCGAAAATGGGTTTCCTTGAGGAAGAAAAAATTTATTCGGTATATCTTGGATTTTATGAAATCAAAAATAATAATAATAATAATAAAACATATTTTGCTTCTTTGTTAATTTTTTTTCTGCTGAAACAAAACAAAGTTTTGATATTTGGATTTTTTTTATACATGATTAATTTTTATCTGAAATTAAAAATTTGATCCCTAGAGTATTCCAAATAATCCGTTCTCCTATTTTTACGATTATCCGAAAAATACTATACCACTCAAACCAATGACGTATCACACATCACAGAAGAAATATGTCTGCGCCCATGAACATGCTTCGGACGTATCGACGATTGTCTAATTTCAGCTCCATTGTGCAGAATTTTAAGAAAGACAAGGTAGTTTCCAAAATTGGTTTAATAAGACAATGCTAAAATATATAAAAAAGTACAAAATACAGTGCTATAACAAATTTTCCCCCAATGTTTTGCTGAGACAACCCACATAATATCTGTTATCAGCTGATAACACTTGACCTTGTTATTAAAATGATGTCAGAAATGTAACTTGGAATTAACTGCTTCAAAAGTTTTTTAATATGTAAATACGGGGCTTTTAGCTGTGATCGATGTGCTATTTACACTCTGACTGAGAGTAGACTTGAAGAATTAAAAATGAAAATTATTTACCAAGTGCCCTTTTATAACTCACATATATTTTTTTCATGCTGCAGAAGAATGTTTTCTGTGTTTCCATAAGATGCTTGAGTCTACAGGAGTATCAAAGCAAGAAGCTTATGTTAGACAATGGTATCAACGTTCAGAAGTTTGTTGTTTGTAGCTCAGCCGAAGAGGCCAAAACAGCAGCCAAAAAACTTAGTAAATATTTGTCTAAAACTTAATTAATTTTCTGCAATGATGATTGTGAGAATTACTTTGTCTTGTTCAATTCATGATTTTATATTAGAAATATTGGCATATTGATTGGAAACTCATACTAAAACAGTGATTGCTAATACAAGGCCAGATAAAAATAATCTCTAGATTCTCATCCCCGCCCGCCCCTCTCAAAATTTTTTACCATGGTGTTTTTTATTTTGATTTTTGGGTGTTAATAAAAGTATTTTTATTCAGCCAGAATTTGGCTCAAAGTTTAAGAGTTATCTCCCATCAGTATCAAAAGTCGTGTGCCCCTATTTATTGCAAAAATAGCCATGTAATCGGCAGTAAAAAAAGTTTAAATATGTAAGGAAAAGATAATTTGACAGTATAGAGAAGGCAGAGAAGAAAAAATAGCATTAATACATACTGGCATGAGTAGAAAGATTTTAAATGAGTAAAACTAGATGAGGAAAATGACATGTGGACAAGTTTTAACAATCTCCATCTGTGTGTGATTTTGCTTAAATAAAACATCCTTAGCGGACTTTAGAGAACGTTAAGTGCTTAGAAAATGTTAAATCTTAAAAATGTTCAGACCTAGGTTTTTCAGTAGAAGATTTTTTTAGAATATTTTTATAGATTTTGCAAACATGACCTATTTCAATGTCAAACATGTCAAGTCTAAAGATTATATAGGGGTGCAATGATACGCCTTACGGCCTACCCCACGATACGATACGTATCACGGTATTCAGTTCACGATACGATACGTATCACGATATATGTGACATAGTGGGTTAAAAAGTCGAAAGTTTGTCATTATATAGTTTAAACTAAAAAGTTTTATCAAATGTTCATTTCACTAACTCTAGGAAAGTGATAACATCCTTCGACCCGTTAAATATGAGACTGGAAACAAGTTTAACTGCTGTTTCTGCAGTTTCATTGACCTCATGTTTCGTGCGGAAGCCATTTTGAAATTGTAAACGAGGAACCAAAACGGATGATTCGGATAATTACGGACTGATGGAACCGAACCGTGATATCAGTTTCACGTATCGTGAATGGAACCGTGGAGAAATAAAATGCGGTATACCGTCAAACGGTTTATCGTTGCACTCTTACTTAAGAATGATCAAATTTTTGGAGAAGGTGGAAATCTGATATTTTACTTAAAAACAGATTTGTTGGTAAAACTTAAAGGTATTTGGGGAAATTTAAGCCAATGAGAAGTCATGCAAACACAATTTATTGCTATCCCCACCTCATTATGTTTGGCGTGTGCCGTATTTGTGTACTTGATAATTTGTTAATTAACAATGAATATTTAATTTTTTAAGGCAAGATATTTTTAAGATATAAAAAGGGAAATGAAAATAATAAAATCTATTCATATAAGCATTAACATAATGAAAAAAAGTAAGAGTCCATGTTTTGTTGATACTAGTAATTTAACAATTACAGATGTATAAAAAATAAAATCCGCCCACCAGCCCCAATTTTTTTAGCAAATAAGGATAAGAATCTAAAGATTAATTTTATGTGGCCTAACCTTAGGTTGTGATCAAATGAGTGATCAAACCTTCAATATGTTCAAGAAGGTCATTTGGCTGAGATCTAGATCACTGAGAGAAAAAGTGCATATACCAATATTCATATAGGAAAAACTTTGAAAACAAAATCCTTATGGAAAATTTGAAAGTTTAAACTTAGCAAAACCTTTACTTACGTCATGGTCAGATGGTCAGGAGTGTGATGACTTTGACACAAGGTCATTTGTGTGGGCCCTTTTTTTTACCTTGAATCAAGGTAATTTTAGTATTAGTTTAAGGACACATGCAATGAGCAATGTTGTAAATTTTGTAAGATCTAGACGTCAGTAACTTTGTTTGCATGGATGTTTGTACATTTAATAAGATTTTAATATTGCACATGATAGGGGGTATGAAAGGTCAACTAGGCAAGTTCATGTCACCGACTAAAATCTAAAATGCCATGAAAAATGACAATACACTATTTCAATTCAGAAACAAAAAAGTCAACAAACAATAATTTTAGAATTTTGCAAAACTGTGAACCATGTGGTATTTCAACCAAATTTTTGTGACCTCCTCAGTTTTTTATGCATTGCATAGTGATCCCTTTTCCTCTTCATTTATTGAATACATTATGATTTTTTAGAGGTTGATGAATATGTGATTAAGGCCCAGATTCTGGCTGGAGGCAGAGGGAAAGGTGTGTTTTCTAATGGCTTCAAGGGTGGAGTCCATCTCACAAAGAAGTAAGATATCAGATGATTTCATTGTAGATTCTGAGATCAATACAATATCACTGATTGGTTTGATAACCTGATCTTCATAGGTACATCGTAAAAGAGTTATTTTACAACTTTTGATTCCAAACTCATTGAAACTACAACTAAAATTTTTCTATTTTGCATTGAAAGATGAAGTACATGATGAGTAATTAATTTTTATAGACTGTTATCTTAGTTTTTTACAAGCAAAAATTCCTTATAAAATCTGCAACTGAAAAAGCCATGCAAAATCTTTTTTTTATCTGCCACTCATTTTTGTAGCCCGAATGATGTGGAGGGCCTGGTCACAAGTATGCTGGGACACAAACTAAAGACAAAACAAACAACGGGAGATGGAGTCAAAGTGTCAAAGGTTTGTGTGTTTGTGTGGAGTATGTATTTACATGTAGCTTACCTAAGCCTTTACTGAAGGCCAGTGAGCTTTTCTGATCAAAATTGTAATTTTTTGTCATAAACCTTTCACCATTTCATCTCCCCCAGAATTATTGGATTAATATTATACACATTAAAATTTTCTAAAGGGATTCTTATCTGTTTCTATAAAGGGGAGATAATCAAGAAATGGGGTGTTTGTTATGATAAAATCTGTCATAAGAATTTGATGGGAAAATATAAAACTTCTCCAGAGCTATTTGAGCATAATAGGTATATGTTAAAACATAAATGTTCCAAGGTACTGCAGGTTCAAGGTCATGACCCTTGGGATTAGAATAGAGTAGAATGGGGCCAAAAAAAATAACATAGTTTAACTTTGTAAAATGTTGGGGACCCTTGGGGTTAGAATAGAGTAGAATGGGGCCAAAAAATATAACATAGTTTAACTTTGTGAAATGTTGGGAAAATCATTCTTGTAAAGAACAGCATGACCATCATTTGTCATACACTGTAAAATCACATTTTTGTGGGATCAAATTTCCGTGGTTTGAGAAAAATCTCTTGGTTTGTGGGGATTTGATTTCCTGGATCAAGGATTAATGAGTAATTATGTATGTAACATTTTACATTTCATGGTGGACATGAATTCGCGGGTCTCATCATACCTCGAAAACAACAAAAATTAACCCCCACGAAAATTTGTGATTCACAGTACTTGTAGCTGTAAATATGCAAACATTCCTCTCACAACGAAGATTCATTTTTTCAAGTCATGGCCTCCGAGACTAAGATGGGGCTAACATTCTGAAAAACGGCACGACCAAGGTGACTGTTGTGACCCATGGGCATCTTGTTGAACAATATATACAGATATACCGTGAAACTAAAATATCTCAAACTGCAAACTAGTAAGGATTTTAGCTGAAAGCTTTAGTGAGCTTTTCTGATCACTCATCCATCCAGCTGTCCATTTATCTGTCTTTCCATCTGTAAACTTTTCACATTTTTGACTTTTCCTCACAAAAACTATTTTGCCAATTTTAATCAAACTTTGTACAAAGCTTTCTCTGGTAAATGGGGTTTTAAGTTTTAAAAATGATGGACCAAGCCCTCTTTCAAGGTGAGATAATCAAGAAAAGACAAAAATGGGATGGGGTTATTTAAAAGTCTTATCAAGAACCACTGGGCCAGAAAAGCTTAAACTTTAATATGTGGAAGCATCCTGGGGTAGTGTAGATTTATAAATTGTTTAAATCATGACCCTGGGGGGGGGTGCACAATAGAGAATTCAAGTTTTACATTGAAATTTATTGGAAGAATCTTTAAAAATCTTCATATCAAGAACCACTTTGCCAGAGAATCTAAAACTTTCATGAAAGCATCCTTTAGTGGTGTAGATTTTAAATTGTTCAAACCAATAACTCCTGCAGTAAGGTGGAGCAACACTAGGTACTCTATATTACAAGGGGGGAAATTGGTGGAAAACAGCACAGCCAAAGTTACTCAGGTGAGCACAGTGGCTAATGGGCCTCTTGTTATAATTTATACAGAAGTATACTTTAGATGTTTGTTTTGATATCAGGTGATGGTGGCTGAGGCATTAGATCTAGCCAGGGAGACCTACTTTGCCATTGTGCTAGACAGATCGTTTGCTGGACCAGTGATAATCGGCAGTAAGCACGGAGGAATGGACATAGAAGAAACTGCGGCTACAGATCCAGACTCTATTATCAAGGTGTGGACGGGAGCAAGATTGTTCAAATTTAAACATTGTAAATCACGGCTTATGTTCACAAATTTCATTTCTTTTTAAGGAATCACTGTCTAGTGAGGAGAGTATGCCAGGGTATCAACAATAGTGGGAAACATGGGATAATTTGCATAATGGGCGAAGTCCGTTATGCTAAAATTATCCCATGTTACCCACTATTGTTGATATCCCTGGCATACTCTCCTAACTAGACAGTGATTCCTTATACATGTATTTCCATTTCAGTGTGAAATAAAATTATAGATTTAGACTTAAAAATGTATACATAGACTTAAATCACACAAGGACTCCCATGCGGATTTCAATAGTCCTCGCCCACTGACGTCAGACACAAAGGAAGCCGCGCGAGATTTACATGCATATTTGGCCTCCTTAGCTTTAGACACAGAGACAGATGCGCACAAGATTTACATTCATATTAGGCCTTCTTAGCTCCTGACCTATCGACCTACCTAATTTACATTCCAGTAGAATTGTCAAGAAATCAACTCGGGCAACTTTCAAAGGGTTATCACAGGGAAAAAAATTAGAAATGGAAATATACCGGTAATAACATTAATGTTATTTCATGGTCCCCTTTTGATTGGAATTTTAAGTTTTCATCTGTTAAAATAAACACATCGTTATATTCTTAAGGGAAATATATATTTAAATCTGTAAAGTAATTTATAGAATGTTGAGCTTGAAAATCATACAGGATTGAGTGTATGTAGTTATTTTTTTGACTCAATGTTTTAAATGGCTGGGAAGTAAGCCATGGTATGAGTATGTGACATTTTCTTTAGTATGATTTGTGTAAGGCACCAATTGTTTTAATACATGTATTTTTTTTTGTCCCCCTTTCACAAAAGCGAGGGGACATTAAATCTCATTCGTCTGTCCATCAGTCTGTTTAGCTGTCCGTCCGTCATAAAAACATTAACCTTGCCCATAACTTTTGATTTAATGGAGCTATGACTTTCATATTTCATACGTGTATTCCTTGTGACAAGACCTTTCTTTGGGTGTCACCAAATTTGACTTTTTGACCTTGACCTTGGATTTTGACCCACTTTTACACAAAAATTCCAAACTTTTACTTTGGCCATAACTTTTGAATGGTAGGTATTAGGACTTTCATATTTCACATATGTATTCTTTGTAGCAAGACCTTTTGACCTTGACCTTGGAGATTTTTGTACTTATGAGAAAACTGTAACCTTGACCATAACTTTTGAATGGTAAGGGCTAGGGCTTTCTTACTTCACATATGTAATCCTTTTGAGAAGACTTTTCATTGGATACCAAGAACTTTAACCCTTTGACCTTGACCTGGGAGTTCAGTGATAATTTCTGAATAGATGACTTATGATACGGCGTCCTAATTTGACACAAAATGTAATAAAAAAATGACATCTCACCCAAAAAGACACAGAAAACTGGGGACCACAATTCTTTGAATTTGCTTGTTTACTTATTTTCTGCACTAATCATGTTCTGAAAAAAAAAAGTGAATTGATTTAATTTTTGCAGGAGCCAGTAGATATAATGACCAGTGTCACAGAAAGACAATGTCTTTCAGTGGCTGAAAAGCTAGGATTCCAGGGCAACAAACTACAATCGGTAATAATCACTTTCTTTATATCAGGGATTATAGAACTTTACCAAATTATATCAATTTAAACAGATGATTTATTTTTGTTAAGACCTACATGTATTTTTGTATGTACACTTTGGATAAAAAAATTAATTGATTTTTTTAATGAAATGCTGAGGAATCATCATTGTTTGTAGTGAAGCAATGTTCATGAATATTAACATTAGAACATGAATTAAGTCCGAATGGACACTTGCTTTGTCAGTGTATTTAAATAGTAAATTGAATCTTTTTTTATATGAGTTAACCATGAATTATCCACAAAATTTCGTTCCCACAAATCAGTAAAATTTTGGTTACCCACAGACATTCATCGTCGCAAAACACAGGTTTTGTGTCCATGCATTCTATTCCCATGGAATGAACACAAAACACATTGCTTGCAACGATGACAAACATTGACTTGCACAAATTAAAATGATTCCTCAGTAAGTTTTTTGTGTGACTCTATTTCCAATACTTGTAGAGAATACCCTAAGTTACATGATCCACAGTTTCTTCCCTCTATTTTTTCAGGCAGCTGACCAGATTCGTAGGCTTTATGAATTGTTTGTTAAAGTGGACGCCACACAGGTGGAAATCAATCCCTTCGGAGAAACCCCTGATGGCAGAGGTAGGGGATACAGAATAACAAAATTGATACTGTAAATGTATTACATTTGGTTGTGTATATTATTTAGTGCCTTTTGCAGAGATCATCTTCTGCTAAATCAAGTGCATCAATAAATGTCATGTTTACACATACGTATTCTTATTAAAGCACATTCAGAGAGCACTAATTCAAATAAATGCTAACCTGTTAAAAAATCAATTTCAGCCAAATATCATACACACCAAATAAAATACATTTACAGTAAGGTCTCTACTGATGGATATGTCAGCATGATAATTAACGGGTATTTGTCATTCTGAAAGGTTGACAATTTGAGGGAGTTTCTACACACATCTTTGGTCTGATAAATTATGATTGTACAAGTATTTAATATCTGTTACTTAGGGTTTATTTGTTACTGTGGAATCGATTTGATGTCAGCTAAATTTTGCTGTAATCAGTTGATGTAATTTTGTGGGTAACTTGTATGTATGGAAGACCCAATGACTTGATGAGTTGACAAAGTTACAGGAGGTAAATTTGAGAGAAAGGGCGATCCAATAATCTCTAATATTGGATTCCAACAAACAGTACTGATTCCACAGTAGCAATGTTGATTAAGTTAACTGTTCTATGTTTGTTCCCAATGACCTTAAAACTGTACTTAATGTACTAATTTTCTTTCTTCCTGTTCTTTCAGTGGTTTGTTTTGATGCCAAGATCAACTTTGATGATAATGCTGCTTTTAGACAGAAGGAAGTATTTGCCATGGATGATATGGCAGAAACCGATCCCCGTGAAATTGAAGCTAGTCGACTAAAACTGAATTACATAGCCCTTGAGGGGAGCATAGGATGTCTCGGTTTGTTATCTCTGAAAATTTCTGTGCAATATCTTCATAGGGCTGGGTGTTGGCCAAAAATTTCGTATTGCGATATAATGCGATATTTTAAACGGTATTGCGATATGTATTGCAATATTTTCAGCAAAAATAAAATGGCATTTTCTTAATAAATTTACTTTAATTTACACACAGAATTTACAAAACTATGACAAGTAGCCAAAAGAATAAAAAATCTTGTTAAGTTTATTAAAGTAATGCTCTGAAATACATTCATAAAACAACTTTTGTCTTACTGTTTGGCTTTAAAACAAACATTTCTTACATTTATTTTTATATTTAATGATAAAATTCCTTAGTCTAATTATATTGCCGGTATATCAATATTTCAAAAACGTATCGCAATTCGATATCTTTTCTCATACATGTAGTATTGCAATATACCGAAATATCGATATTTTTGCCCAGCCCTATATCTTCAACAAACTAATTTAACTTTCATAACAAATAATCGTAGGGGAAATTTTTGCTTAAATTCCTTGGATTAAGTTTTTTTAATTAATGTAAAATACAACATATATGTGAAGAATTTCTAGTAGTGAAGATAGAAATTTGTGTAATTTAAAATATATTCAAAAGCAACTCACTCTATTTCACATTTTTACTCAATTGCATAATTTTTCATTGAAAAAATTTGCAGAGTAAAATTTTGTCCCTGCGCCTGATGTACTATTAAAATCAATGTTAGTTTACAGTTAAGTATTAAATGGAAACCTCACAATGTTTACAGATTTTGAATGTCAAATGCGTACAATGATCCAGTTTAAAATTTCTTTTATAGTTTATCAGTGAAATTATGAGTAAATATTGTGTATTGTTTGTATAGGTCATGAAAAAAGCATTTTTTTAACAGTATATTAATTTACAGTGAATGGTGCTGGTCTCGCCATGGCAACAATGGACATTATCAAACTTCATGGAGGGGAACCAGCTAACTTTTTAGATGTCGGAGGGGGTGTGTCAGAACAGCAAGTTCACGACGCTTTCTTTCTCCTCATGGGAGACTCACATGTATGCATTCAATATGTACTCATAATACATTAGGGGAAAAAAAATTAATGTGGTTCAACTTTATTGCAAATTTTTTTCTCAGCTTAATGTATAGTTTACTGCATACATATTTTTATCCACGGGTCAAAATTCCACAGAATCTCTACTTTAATCGGTGTGTAGAAATTTACACAGATTTCTTAGACAGACAGGGATGGGGTAATCATAATCAGTAATTGTAATCAGCTGTAATCAATTACAGTTTGCCAAGTAATCGTGAGTAATCAGTAATTACCCATTTTTCTGATTACAAGTAAGCGTAATTCTGAAAAAAGCCCTGTAATCATGATTACTTTTCGATTACTTTATGATTACAATTATTAAAACAAAGTTCATAAAATCATGATTTTGATGATATTCAGTGATTTTTTTCTTCCAGTGCTACCAGAAATGCTTATAACCAGGTACATTGTCCAGGCAATGAGTAAATTCTATCATTTCTTAGCTATAAGTAGTCATTTCAAAATACTTATGCATCTTAGCAATTTGCCATTTTTGACTAGATACATATATATACTGAAAGAAAGTTTAAAGTTTGAATTTTTTTGTTTCAATTTTAAAGCATGTGTGTAATGCAACATTTTGTTTTCCCTATAAATCTTTTAATAAACTTATATATATAAATATATATATTTTAATATCAAATGTTCCTTTCTTGAGATGTGTGTTCTAAAAATCATTTTGTTTACAATGTACATAAAAAGATAGTGTGAATTAATTAGTGATAAAACACACGTCAGATTTACATAATTTAGGTCAGCTTGGGTAATAACAATAATTGAACTATCCATGCTTGTCCAGTCTATGTGTTAATTTTAGTAAAAACATCTAATAATTGGCAGCTTAATTAAGTTCATCACTAATCAAGAAGGTCAATTACTTGTGTTACCATTCTCTATGGAATCCTTATATCCCTAACTATAATTATGTCCAGTTTGATTTATAAATAATAATAATAAATTCTATTTTTTCTATTTCTCTCAGCCATAGCAGAAGATATTTACTTGTATGAAAGATAGAAATCGGATGATATAAGAGAAATTTCATGCATCTATATAAAGTCATGTACCAATTTAAACTTAAAAATATTATTATTAATGATATATAAAGAAAGAAGAATAAAAACATGCAGTTGTCCTTGAACATTAAATTAAAAAAACTTAATGTAATCTAAAGTAATCAGAAGTAATCATGATTACATGAAGGAAAAGTAATCAGATGTAATTGATTACTTCTAAAAATGTTTGTAATCAGCTTGTAATCGATTACTTTTAAAATCCAAAGTAATTGTAATTTAATCGATTACTTTTGAAAGTAATCAACCCCATCCCTGCTTAGACTCGCAAGAGAATTAAGAAAATTAGGTTAAATGGGACAAATTTCTGCAGAAAATTTGTGACCGCCTACATAGCTTAAATTAAAACTGCATGGAAAAAAGTACTACTACAGTATATTATGTTTCAGGTGAAGACAATTTTAGTGAATATATTTGGAGGTATTGTAAACTGTGCTACTGTTGCTACTGGGATAATCAAAGCCAGTAAGAAATTACATCTGGAGCTTCCATTGGTAGTCAGACTAGAAGGTAAATTACTACGTACGGTACGTGTGTGTTAGAAGAGTTATACCGTGGATCTGTTTATTACTGTGCATATGAACTGAAAAACAAGACGAAACAAAAAACAAACTATAGCTTCATAGATGTATTAGCAACAAAGTAAACAAACTCCATATGGCTTTTAAAATTAATGACGATTAAAATCGCAGTCAAAATTGTTTTATGATAAAGATGTACAGTATAAACAGTAAAACTCTGTCATAATGAAGTGTCATTTTATTATTAGTGTTTCCTATAAGCATGATTTACTGTATATTTTGATTTTTACCACCATGCCTTTCTACCATTGACCTCAAAATGGAGTGGAAGGTCTAGTTGTTCCTTCAAAAATCAAACTTTTCAGTTTTAATAAATCTCAACTGGTTTTTACAGGTAACAATGTAGAGGAAGCTAAGAAAATTCTGGCAGAAAGTGGAATGAAGATCACCGTAGCCGACGGTTTTAACGATGCAGCTCGCCTCTCAGTGCAATCGGCAGCTACAGCTTAACTGTGATAATACCAGGCATTTGTTTTAATAATGCCAAATTCCAAAAACTTGTATCCGTAAATCCAGGAGGGTTGTGTACATTAGATTTATAGGTGCTTTTTGAGAATGAGTGATGATTTTATTATTTCAATTATTAATTGAGAAATTTACAAGTATATGTACTCAATTTTTTGATGGGCATTTAAAATTGTCTAATAGGTTAAACAATGATTTAATGCAACATATTTTATTTAGATTCTCTCCTTTTGCATTTGATTTGTCCATTAATTCAAGAAATGCTTAATGCTAGTGTGCACATATACATGTACATGTACCTGAAATTTTATTTGTGCACATGGGTCATGAAATTTGTACAGGTATATATAAAGTGTAATTTTGTTGCAACATTAATTTTTATTTAAAAGTTTGGAAGATTTGTATATAAACAGTATTATTTTATAAATATTCTGTAATTATCCTTTGCATCAAATCAGTAGTGTAAATCTTCACACTATTAGAGCTTTATACAAGCTTTTTCAGTATCACTCCCATTTACATCATACTGAGAATAAGTATGTTTTTGATTTATACTGGTACAGTAAAATTAATAATATTTCATGGGATTTTTGTATACCTTTTTCAATGATTATTGGCATTATAAAACACTTCAAATTTGTTTTGATAGTTCCAGTCCACTTAGAGGGAATGGGATAATCAACACAAGTATTGTACCATACTTGTACCATTTACAATGTAGGTTACTATTCTAAATAAAGCAAAATACTAAAGAAAAATGAGATAGTTTTCCTTTTAATTACATGTATACCCCTTCTTAAAAAACGGAAGGGTATATAGTACAGGTAATCAGTATGTCCGTCTGTTATGCTTTGGGGTACCCATCTCTTAGCTGCAACTCCTCTCTTACCACTACTAGTAAATGAAATTCGATGAAACTTTCACAGAATCTTTATTACATATTGCTATTGTGTACCTCCTGTTTTACTTTTTGATCTGACACATTTTGGGTTTCCCACAGCAAAAACATGGACACTGCCATTATATTCATATGGGAAGCGGGGGGTATCATAAAGGGAACTTATTGCTAACAGTACCTCTAGTTTTTAGCTCACCTGAGCTGAAGGCTCAAGTGAGGTTTTCTGATCACATTTTGTCCGTCGTCCGTCCGTCTGTCTGTCCGTCTGTAAACTTTTCACATTTTCGACTTCTTCTCAAGAACCACTGGGCCAATTTTGACCAAACTTGGTACAAAGCATCCTTGGATGAAGGGAAATTTAAATTGTTAAAATGAAGGGACATATCCCCTTGCAAGGGGAGATAATCAAGAAAAGACAAAAATAGGGTTGGGTCGTTAAAAAATCTTCTTCTCAAGAACCACTGGGCCAGTAAAGCTGAAACTTATGTGGAAGCATCCTGGGGTAGTGTAGATTCTAAATTGTTCAAATCATGACCCCCGGGGGAAGGGCGGGGCCACAATGGTGAATCAAAGTTTTATATAGAAATATATAGGAAAAATCTTTGAAAATCTTCTCAAGAACCACTGGGCCAGAAAAGCTGAAACTTATGTGGAAGCATCCTGGTAAAGTGTAGATTCTAAATTGTTCACATCATGACCCCCGGGGGAAGGGCGGGGCCACAATGGGGTATCAAAGTTTTACATAGAAATATATAGGAAAAATCTTCTTCTCAAGAACCACTGGGCCAGAAAAGCTGAAACTTATGTGGAAGCATCCTGGTATAGTGTAGATTCTAAATTGTTCACATCATGACCCCCGGGGGAAGGGCGAGGCCACAATGGGGAATCAAATTTTTACATAGAAATATATAGGAAAAATCTTTGAAAATCTTCTTCTCAGGAACCACTGGGCCAAAAAAGCTGAAACATATGTGCCCATGGAAGGATCATGGGGTAGTGTAGATTTCAAAATGTCTAAATTATGATCAGTGGGGTAGGGTGGGGATGCATTATGTATAACAAGGGGGAAATCTGGTAAAGAACAGAATGGTCAAAGCTTCTCAGGTGAGCGATGTGGCCCATGGGCCTCTTGTTTGTCTCTACCAATTACAAGTCAGAACCTTAAAAGCATATCAATTGTTTAACTTCCTGATTACAGAAATCTGAAGTTTCAACTAAATTATGTCAGAATTGTATTCTTGCTATGGTTTTCGTCGACTAGAACTTAACATGTTCCTCCTTAATAAATCAATTGAATTTTTATATTCAATTATTCGTGCCAGCACCTACTGCCACATGAGACCTTGGTCTTCAGGTTAAGGTTTCATATGAAGGATTGAGTGATTGATTTAAAAATCTTACATCTGGCACTTTCTTTTTCAGAATCAACTGGTCTGATCCCCCTGTAGATGTCATGAAGGGTTAACGTTACTACTGCAAGAGTGATACAGCACAGTAATAGTGTATCACCGTCACCTTATTGAGATTCTGCAATCATATTCTTCATGGGTTAAAATCCCTGTACATCTTTGACAGGGACATTACAAAGATTGAACTTATAGTTACTTGGGAATTTCCTACACTAGGTGCAGTTGACTGCTATAAAATTATAATAATTAAAATGAATATAGTGAATAATTTAATAATTCTTCTAATTTCATTAAATAATTTTAAAGAACATAATTTTTAGAGTAGTCTAGAATGAAAATAAAACATGCATAATTATTGCTATATAAAGAATGGTAAAAGAGTATTAATTAATTTAAAACCTTTAATATTTAAATTAATGATCTCTTCACAAGGGTGGTAACTCTATATACAGAAAATGAGCAAAACTTAAATAATTTTACTTTAAAACTACTTCACTTTGCAAAAAATAAATTCTTCAGTGTGTGGTTCCAAAATATTCATTTACCAAATTAAAGGATTTTGTTATCATCTGTGTAGCATTTAACCATGATTACAAAATACATTGTTCATTATTTCTTTCCTATGCCTGCTTTTAGTTTTTGTCTGCAATTTTTTTTATTATAAAATGTTGTGTCCCTTACAAATCCAAAATTCTAATAGTGAGGAGAAATTATTGCTCCTGTGAACTAAGTATTAGATACTCTCTTATGAGACATAACTATATGACATTAATTTTGGTAAAACAGGAATATGAACAGATTAAATTTGTCAAATACATGAAAAAAAGTTTTAAATCAATTTCAGGACCCAACCATTACAGCAAAATTCCATTAAAATAATTAATGGCAATTCTTACTTTATAATTACAAGTATCATATCATAAAGTTTTTTTTTATTTTAGCTTCATGCATTAAAATCAAATACATGTTCTAAATACATTTCAGGGGCAGTAACTCCATGAAAACATTCCTTCTTTATTTCAAGTTTTTCTTGTTATATCTCAGAAGCTTTCCTTTGTCAAGTCAATGAGTTGTTAATATATTGCACAAACATGTTGGGGATTTTAGAGAGGTCCTCCACGGGGTGCATCTTTGTGTAGGTTATAAACTGACGCCTGTGTCGCTGGAGTTCCGCTAGAGTGACTGGAATAAGAAGGTGAATCTGTAAACTAATTAAGGAAATTAACCAACATCCAGAGGATCTCTTATAAATTAAATCATAGTATACACGAAAAAAAAACTATTTAGAAAAAAACTGCTTGTTTTAATTTTCACAGAAAAAGATTACAGTGAAATTAACAGTTTATATATAAAAGATTTTCTCATAAACCGGTGAATCCAGCATCGTGGTTCTAATCTTCTGCAAGTTTTGACTACTATCTTACCTAAGAAAAAATTGATTTGTTATATGTACATGTTACATCTGACAGCAATTTTAAAAATAATCGAAACAGCAAAATCTAAGTTTGCATCCTCTACTTCTTTGTGCCCTGGTATCATTATGTTAGAGAGCATGGCTAATTCACATGTATTCACTTTGATGATCTGTCAGGACATTCAATAACATTTGATCATTGTTTTGCTCTACTCTCTGGGAAGGATACTTTTTCAGTGGCCCCGGGTATAGAAATATCATCTCCTGCCACACACAGTTTCTGGGATTCCATAATAGTCTGAAATATTACAAGGGTTTTATTGTGTAACGAAACATACATACATGTACATGTATATACATGCTGATTGGATAGAGTCATCAAAATTAAATTACATGAATATTATACATAAATGCAGTGTAAAATCATATATTTTTGCCCATTAAATTTTGTGAAAATTTTCATCCCCTTTCATATTTGTGTGAAAGAAATGGGGATAATAAATGGGAGGCAAATAAATTCTTTGTATACAGTAAATTTCATCCTTCTAGATCAGCCATGCTTACTGAGACTGTGTCCTGTGTTACTCTGTCCAGCTCATACAGGAAGTTAGTGGAGGAGAGAGGTTGCTACAAATGAAGACAAATTCGTATCACATACAGGCCAGTGATTATTTTCTTAGTACATAAAATACATTTTAAATTAAAGGAATGATACAGATATACCTTAAAACTGTGCTATTTTTTTTTGTCTTCATCTCTGCATTACAACAGAGCCTCTTTACTCAAATTTTCAAGAGTTTTAAAAGATCTTCATGTTAAATTTTTAACTTAAAAAAAACCGAAAGTTTCATGCATTGAAAATTATTCAAAGCAAATTTCAATGAAATAAACTCTGATGACAATAAGTTACGTTTTGTGTGGCCATGTTAGGTGGCGGTGGTTTCCTGTTAAAGAGAGCGTCAGTAATCTGATCATAAGGAAGTTTGTCCTCGGGGTGGACGACAAACAGGGGGCTGTCCCAGCGCTGGTTAGGGTTAGGTTCCTCAAACCGCATCATCAGCTCCTCCAGACTGGAAAAAAACATTATAATGATGTAACTTTGTAAAAATATAGGCATATCATAATATGAAATTAAAGACTAGAAAGCTGACCTCACTGAATGTTAAACAAGGAAAAGTCTAACACAAAATAAATGTATGGTATGCATCCTTATATCACACGTAAAAGAGTGGTTTACGTTTTAAAGCTTTGTACTAATTACTTTGAAATAAACTTGCTCTAAGAATTTAAAACTGGCCACTTGTTTGGAAATTGCTTTAAAATGGGACATTGAAGGAGAAAGAAAATGAGGAAGACAGAGAACTAGAGCAAAGCTCGTTGCAAAGCAACGAGTAGGTCTTCCGTCCTGTTTTGAGCGGAAGTGACGTCAACAAAAGAAAGCAATGAGCTAAGTCGTCTCCAGTCACTTCAATTTCAATTTTGCATCAAAACCTTAAAAAATAAGCTATTTTTGGCTACTTCCGGTTTGACCGGAAGTGATGTTGACGGACGGAAAATTAAGTTTTATGCTTCCTGTGACATATGTTACCCAAAAACTTGTCAAGAACGGCAAATATATGCATTTTTTGACGACTTCCGGTTTGACCGGAAGTGACGGCTCCAGACGAATTTTGACAACTTCAATAGATTAAGCTTGACATTTTGAAGAACTTTGCTTCTTGGACGTATTACAAATTCTCAATACTTTTTGAGATATTTGGAAAAAACTTTTGGCCCCTCTAGATCCCTTAATTTAGGGGTCAGCCCTTTTTTCGAGATATCATTTGAAAGATCTTTTAATTTTGCACAAATTTTGTTCTATATGTTTTAACAAAATATTTTTAGTTTAGAAGATAAAAAGCAAAATATGTGTAAATTTTCGCTCTTTTAGGCGTTCTAATTTTTGACCCCTGTATAGCGCCATTTTGAATAGAGAAATCGAAAAACAAAAACCGATGTGCACAACTTCAATCCTTCTATTATCTAAAATCAGTTCAATTTCTGCTCCAGCTTTAGCCGTCTCTGAGCCTTTGTCTGGAAACGAAAGCCTATAAATTTTCGTTTAAAGGGAAATAACTCAAAACCGGAAGTGATTTTTTGAAATTTTAGACAACATTCTGATAGAGTTTAGTAACTTCTAGAAGCTCTGAAAATTTGAGCGAAATCAATTGAGAAGTGAGTGAGATATGAGGCTTCAAAGTTGGCGTCTAGGAAGTAGAAGAAAAAAAAAAAGAATAATAATCTTTACCAACAGAATCAGTAGAAGGTCTTCCGCTAGAAACGGAAGACCTTAATAACTGGAAGTACAGGTAGAAACAAAAAGAACTGGGGTAGTTAAGGGGGAGTGCAGGTTGTTGAAAGTCATTTTGGAAATGTCAGACCCAGCATCCAAACATGTCTTGTACAGTGAATATTTAGAAACATAAAATTCATCCATGCAAGTTTGGTCACAACAAGGCTTGTTCCTCATATATTTATTTAATAGGATCCCAAAGCTGGTTTATAGCATCAGCCATAAATGATGATTAGAATTTTATACATCAGTGGTAATGGATAAAAATTTACATTTTGTCTGTGTATCTGTCTGTCTCTGGTTCTCTTCGACTGTTCCATTCTGTAGCTTTCTCTTTACTGATATCACAGAATATCTGTTAAAATAAAACCCATCATTTAAATTATGTTTACTTAGTCTTATTCATCTGACTGTCTAGGCAAATTTAGTTAATTTACTGTGCAATCATTCAATTAACAACTAGCATTTAATTAGGCCTAAAATACCTTACAACTCAATTTTTAAGAGAGCTCAAATTTGTAGTTCTTTAATTTTTCCTATTTTATAAAGCTAAGAAGCATTGTACATGTTTTTATTATTGTAATCAATAGTTCAAAAGTATTCTTAAAATCATGAAAATGTTCTCTCTAAAAAATAAATACAAAATTTAAGTTAAACAAGAGGCCCACGGGCCTTATCGGTCACCTGAGCATCATGCAACAACTTTCAAATGATTGAATTTTGTTCATGTTTTTAGCTAGATGCTATGGCATTCAGAATTTTGAAAGAGGCATCATTGCTAATCATAACTATACACTTAGCAAATGTTTAGTTTGTTTACTAAATACCCATAAGCAGGGTAAGGGAACAAAAATGCATGTCAACTACTCAGTAATATTCAGCAATAATCAGGAGTGCCCTTACCACAAATGAACCCCTGACCCTAGGTCTACACATTGCACAATTTTTGAAAAGGCAGACTTGCTTATCAAAAATGTTTGATTAATACCAAGGAGCAGATTTCAAACAATTCATTTTTAGTATATAAGTAGAGCCCCCCCCCTTTTTTTTTTTTGGTATCCCTGACCCAGGGGCCATAAAATTCACAATTCTGGAAGAAAAGCTATTGCACATCATAACCATTTAAATAGTCCATCTGCTTATTACCCAGGAGTAGAGAAAAAGATTTTTATAGATGTTATACATTTTCACTATATATAATCATTATAGAGCCACACCCTAACACCCGAACCCCTGACCCTGGGGCAATAAAATTCACAATTTTGGTAGAAGCATTCTTGCTCATCATAACTATGTCCTTAATTAGTTTATTTAATACCCAGAAGCAAAGAAGAAGCTTTTCAGAGAATAAATGCATTTTCACTATATAATTAATAGAGCCCTGCCTTAACATCAGAACCCCTGACCCTCGGGCCATAAAATTCACAATTTTGATAGAGGCACTCTTGCTCATCATTACTATGTACTTAGTTAGTTTATTTAATACCTAGGAGCACAGAAGAAGATTTTCAAAGATTTAATGCATTTTCACTATATATATAATCAATAGAGCCCCGCCTAACACCAGAACCCCTGACCCTGGGGCAATAAAATTCATAATTTTGATAGAGGCACTTTTGCTCATCATAACCATGTACTTAGATAGTTTATTTAATACCTAGGAGCACAGAAGAAGACTTTCAAAGATTTAATGCATTTTCACTATATAATCAATAGAGCCCCACCCTAACACCAGAACCCCTGACCCTGGGGCCATAAAATTCACAATTTTCGTAGATACACTCTTGCTCATCATAACTGTGTACTTAATTAGTTAATTTAATACTCAGGAACAGAGAAGAAGATTTTCAAAGATTTAATGCATTTTCACTATATAATCATTAGAGCCCCACCCTAACACCATATCCCCTGACCCTGGGGCCATAAAATTCACAATTTTGGTAGAGACACTCTTGCTCATCTTAACTATGAACTTAATTAGTTTATTTAATAACCAGGAGCAGAGAAGAAGATTTTCAAAGAATTAATGCATTTTCACTATATAATCAATAGAGCCCTGCCCTAACACCAGAACCCCTGACCCTGGGGCCATGAATTTCACAATTTTGGTAGAGGACTCAATGCTGATTACAATCATACCAACAGTTTGACTGCTTGATGTCCAGGAGTAAAGAAGAAGATTTTTAAAGATTGCACTAATTTTAATGGTTTTTGCCCCACCCCTCAGGCCCAGGGGGGGCAGGGACCATGAAATTCACAATTTTTGTTCCCCTTCACCCATAAATGCTATATGCCAAAATTGGTTGAAATTGGTTCAGTGGTTTCAGAGAAGAAGCTGAAAATGTTTAAATGTTAACACACGACGCACGTCGCACGACGGACGACGACGGACGAAAACGGATAGCAATAGGTCACCTGAGTTTACTCAGGTGACCTAAAAAAATTTATTTTCCTTACAGACTCACCACACATTGGGGGGTTTTACAAGATTTTGTAATGCAGTATAATTCATATCGAAAGCCTGGAAAGCAAAAGAATACAAATGGTATTAATTACATAGCAGTAAACATTAATTATGGAATTCAGGAGTAACAAGCATAAAAAAATTTTCTCTTATAATACTACACTTACACTAAAACTCGAGATCTGAATTTTCCCCATCAAAAAACTAACCTTTGATATAATTAAGGGAGTCTAAAATGACCACATCATCTTTGTTCAGTAGCCTACAAAGATAACACTGTTATAAAGTATGCAACATATGCTTTTTGAAAACTTTTACAGACAACTAGACAGACTACTGATTGATTTACAGTCAACTCATACACAAACCAACTTGTACACAAAAAGTCAACTCGTACACAAATCAGAAGTCAACTCTTACACAAACTAATATCATTAATACGTAGGTTTTCCTATGTGGTTTAAAGTATAATTTTCTTCAATGTACAAAAATTGAGGAGTCAACTCACACAAAGGTTTTTCTTGTACATTTCAATCTATTACAAAAAAAAAATATTTATTGGCACAAACACAATTACAGTAATTGGTAAAGGCCCAAAGAAAACATAGTGATAAGCATGAAAATACAGTAGATCACAACTAGAATACAAACAATTGGTGTAGCAAATTATGTATTGTACTCATAAAATACTATATAAATACATACATATGATTCAGTTCAATGTCGTTACTCATTTATAGCTAAAATATTTTTTCTTATATCAGATATTTGACATAAAAAAGATGAGAATATTTTAAGAACCTTTTTACAACTAGTTTTCATCAATAGTTTTAACAATTTGTCATTATTATGGATTGTTTGGTTCAAGTTAGGAAAAGTAGATAGTTTTGTTTTGAATATGTTTCTCTGTGCTTCATATTTTGGACATAGCAAAATGAAATGTTTTTCATCCTCAATGTCAAGGTTTTGACATACTTTACATATCCTATCATTTTTATTAATTTCAACATATCTACCTTTTTCAATTTCTAAGTTGTGTGCACTTAACCTAATTTTTGCTAAAAATGATCTATCATGTAGTGACTCTAGTTTGTCAACATAATGAGCACGTCTATTATCAAGACAAAAGTTCTGATAAAAAGACAGTTTTGAGGAGTTTATTATATTTGCATTTTGTTCTTGTAATATTTGATCATGAATGCGTTGTTTAATAATGCCAAGCATTGGTTTCATTGACATATTAAAATTTGTTAAATAAGAAAATCCTAAGTTATTAAGACAAGTTTTTAGACACATAGACCATGTGTTAGTTTCTTTAGTTTTGATAAAGATTTCATGTGCCAATGTATGTTCCATTGAAATTAAATGATCAAGGTATTTGATAGCAAACATAATAATTTTTGATTTGACTGGGAGTCTCCCGAGTTCAGAATAGCAGCCATTATTTGAAGTTTTGCAATGAACTCCTAAGATTTCTTTTAAAAATTTAATATGAAATTTTTCATAAGATGCTGAGCCTGAATTTTTTATGACTAGGTCAATACCCCAAACTTCGCTGCCGTAAAGCAAAATGGGGATTATCATAGTATCAAATAATTTTTCAAGTAATTGACAGGAATGATGTAAACCGAGGGATTTCTTTATCTTGAATAATGCTTTTCTGGCTTTATCAACTAACCGAGCTGCAGCAAGATTAAATTTGCCATTACATTTAAGATTTATACCAAGATAACAATATTTGTTGACAGTTTCAATACAGATACCATTAATAGTAAAATGGTTTAAAAAGGTTTTACCATTAGAATTAAATACCAGAATTTTTGATTTGGACGTATTAATCTCCAGCTTCCAATTAACACAATAATTTTCAAGAGTATTAAGGCTACATTGTAGACCATCAGGACTACTTGACAATAAAACTAAGTCATCTGCATATAACAAACAGTGTATTTTTGTGTCCTTTACCAATATCGGATCAGAATTGATACTGTTTAATTCATCAACAATTTTGTTTATGAAAATGTTAAAAAGCAAGGGTTTATGAAAATGTTAAAAAGCAAGGGACTTAATACATCACCTTGTTTGACACCCCTTTCAGATATAAAGGGTTCACTTAACCCCTCATTAAACTTTATTTTGTTCATGGTGCTTGCATACATAGAATAAATCACATTGAAAATTTTCTTTGGAACACCATTTTTTAGAAGTATGTAAAATAGACCTGTTCTCCAAATAGTATCAAATGCTTTTCTCAGATCAATGAATGCTGCATAAAATTTTTTCTTTTTGAGTTTGTAATGCTCAATTATAGATTTTATAGAAAATATATGATCAGCTGTTCTGCTGTGTTCCATAAAGCCAATTTGATTTTTGCTAATTTGATTATTATCTAAAGTAAATTTGATTAATCTCAAATGTATGATTTTATTGAATACTTTTCCCAAGTTTGAGCTTATTGATAATCCTCTATAATTGTTTGGGTCAGATTTACTACCTGTCTTATGCAATGGGACAATAAAAGTTTCCTTCCATATTTTAGGGAACTCCCCTTTTTCAAATACAAAATTAAAAAGTTTGGTAAGTGATTCGAGCAAAGTATGTGTACTATTTTTTATCATTTCATTTGATATTAAATCAATAGATGGAGATTTACCATTTTTCAAAGATTTAATAGCTTTAAGTATTTCACTAGACGTGATTGAGCTATTCAGTACATTCATGTCAAAATATGACTCTTGTTTCTTTTTTAGCTCTTCAAATTTTTGAATAATCTCCCTTTGAAATGCATTTAAGTTTGAATTATCCAAAGACAGTTTTTTAAAATGATCTTTAAACTTGTCATGAGGTAATACATTCTCATTTGTGCACTTTGATGAACGATCAAGTTTGTTTATTAATTTCCAAAATGATTTAGGATTTGAATTAAGAGAGTTCTCAAGCTCAGTATAAATCTTTTGTTTGCATTGTCTCTGCTCGTAGTTACATCGACGTCTGAAACGTGAACGTAATGGGTAAAACGCTTTTCGATATTCAGCATTAAAAGGGAATTTGTTAACTAATTTTTCATAGTTTTTGACTGAGATTTTTAGTTCTTCGCATGAATCTGAAAACCATGGTTTTTTGTTATTATTTTTTTTCAATTTTCTACAATTTACTTGTTTATTTCTCCTTTTAACAAATTTGGCTGACATGTTGGCTGTTTCAATTAGAATTGAGTTAACTTCATCCACCATATCATTAACATTATCAAAATCTTTTCTCATGAAATTAGTAATTTTACTTTTTATAGTTTCACTTTGAATGTTAGACTTGAATAACATAATGGCTTGATCTGTCCAAATGAATTTGCCTGGTAAAGGGGAAAGTTTTGATGATGTATTGGTACATTCTGTGTTACACTTAGAAATTAAACCACATACAATAGGACAATGATTTGACAAAGCAGTAAAATCCTCTACTTGAAAAAATCCTACAGATTGTAAAAGTTCATTTGATACAATGGTATAATCTACAAGGCTACACCCATTATAAGTAAAACATGTTGGTCTACCAAATAAATCACATGTAGTTCGACCATTCAGGATTCTATTTTATACCTATACCTATATACCATATGTGCAGATAGATTTTTTTCCACAAGATTTTGAATTTCTTAGAAATTATATCTGAGGTGTCAACTTGTACATATTTTTATTAGATAAATATTTATTTGATACAGCAACATAAATGAGAAGTCATTTTTTTTATTCTGTGGATTTAATTTTATATCTTAAACAACATAATAAATTTGATTAAATTGGATCCCTATTTGTTAAACATCATCACAACAAATTGTAATACGTTTACTTTACATTTTAAAAATAGTCTTCTTTCTTGCAAGTAATAGCGAGCGCAGCGAGCTCAATAGACTAACGTGTAAGAACAGAGGAAATTCGGATTGAAATCTGTACATACGTCAGCCAAATTTCTTTGTGCAACATTCCCAGAATTCCTGCACAACCCAATGTCCTTTGCGCGAATATTGCTGAATAAATAAATAAATAAATAATAACGTAAAGCATATATATCAGACTTTCAGTTTGTAGAAATCTTTCAAAGAAACAAGAATTAACTCTGCAATGTTTTTCGACAAAGATTGCACTAGTTCTATAGTTTCAAACAGATGCTCGGCTGTCTCCGTAAGCTCCGACGAGCTTTGTGACGTCGTACGACGTCACAGGTAGTCGAGATGTCTCGTGCGGCTTGACGTTCGAAGTGGCTGATCTCAAGTGTTTTTGATGGTACAACTGCGCTCGCCCCAACAGTCACACCGTAAAACATATTATATAGATATGAATATATATTACATTTACAAAGTAGGAAATTTAATGGCACCATATAACTTTTAGTTACATTGTATTCATATTAGTATATATCGTGCACAGGCCTTTGGATTCCTTCAAAAAAAATTGTGTGTGTAAAAAAAAAAAATTTTTTTCAACACCTCAATTTTTTTTCTAAGCGATCTAAAGGCCTGTGATATCGTGTAGGTACTAGGTAGTAAATTTGTTCGAAATACATCATAAGATTTTAATGGTATATTGTATCATTTCAAACAATTCATTCCATAAACATTTATCAAACTTATCAAATTTAAAAAAGGGAACACTACTAAACAGAGTAGGATAGAGTAAAATAACTTCTAAAATATTAGGAATACATACACATTTTACTTGTGCACGAGTTGACTTCTGATTTGTGTATGAGTTGACTGGACACATGATTTCCATTAATAAAGCTTTTTTACTTTACGATCAATGGAGCCTAAAATGAACAGATATATTAATTAATCCTAATGAATATTCCTGATGATTGTTGTTACCTGCAAGAAAATGTACCTTACCTCTGTACCTCAGACTTTAATTTTCCCCTAATTTCTTTCTCTTCAATTGAATCTATAAGTAGAAATTGAATTTTCAAACCCATGTAATTTTATTTATATCTTTCCTCTCTGTTCGTGATTACCACATGGGGGTAATTTGACTTTTACACCTGACAAGCAGAGTTTTGATGCACTTTACAGAGATAAGAGAATATAAACAGAAAATTAATTTATACTGTTTGGTGGTCTGCATGCAATTTTTTTATCTTGTTATTATAGCGAGCGTCGCGAAGCGACGCTCGCGAAGCGAGCTCAATAGACTAACGTGTAAGAACAGAGGAAATCCGGATTGAAATCTGTACATACGTCAGCCAAATTTCTCTGTGCAACATTCCCAGAATTCCTGCACTACCCAATGACCTTTGCGCGAATAAATAAATAAATAAATAATAACGTAAAGCATGAAAGGCTATCAGTTTGTAGATATTTTTCAAATAAACAAAAAATAACTCTGCAATGTTTTTCGACCAAAATTGCACTAGGTCTAGAGTTTCAACCAGACGCTCGGCTGTCTCCGTAAGCTCCGACGAGCTCCGTGACGTCACAGGTAGTAGAGACGTCTCGTACGGCTTGATCTTTGAAGTGGCTGATAAATTTTTCGATGGTATAACTGCGCTCGCCCCAACGGTCACACCGTAAAACATATTAGCGAGCGCAGCGAGGCGGCGCAAAGCGCCGCTCGCGTAGCGAGCTCAATAGACTAACGTGTACGAACGGAGGAAATTCGGGTTGAAATCTGCACATTGTTCCAAGAAATTTTTATCTCACCGCGTGAAAAAATTCCAAACTCCCAATACTCCTTTGCGGTGCATAGCAACATGGTGGCTAAAACATAGCAACAACGTCCTTGAAAAAAATTACAAACAAGTTAGTGAAACAACGATTTAATGCAACCTCCATGCCACAACACTATCGTTTGCGTTCAAGTCAACAGGACTTTTTATTTGACGTCATACTTTCGTCACTGAAACGGCTCGGGTATTTCCGATTTTGTCGGAAACTTCCGAAAAGTTCGGAATCTCGATCCCGATGCCTGGGAAGTGATTTCTTTTCATTCTTTTCTTCTTTTTTAATGAACTGAGGACAGGCAGTGAAAGTAAAAGCTTTGTAAAGGTTTTTGACAGTAAATAACTGCGCTCGCCCCAACGGTCGCACCGTAGAACATATTTTTTTTTTTTATTTTAATATAAATTAATCCAAGATGTATTTCAAAATCTACTTACCCCCTTCTATAATATTTTGACATGTGTAAAACCTCTCCTGCACATACAATGGTATAAATACTGTAGGATACCGTAAGAGTCAGAGGATAATTTTATACCGTATCGACTGACGAGGAAATTCGAAATTCCATGATTACCTGCATATACTTTATTCTTGTCAAATCCCAGTGTATGATCGCTTACGATATGTACAGTTCTCTCTGTATTTTTACTTAAGAAATGTCTCAAGTCTTCTGTTTGTTTACTTTTTCCACTAGATGGAAATCCACAAACCAAAACAAACGGCATGACGTCCACATGTTCAATGAAAATTTCCAAGATATCCGAAAGTAGATTGTACATTCACTCATTCGTACCTTAGTTGAAGTGATAACTAGACATTTCAAGATTCTTTTCAATGTGACCAAATATTAAAGGAACTACTGCAGAGTTGGTTGAGAGATGAATAAATATCAGATGGTATAAAATGAATTGCTTGGTAACTAGCTGCAGACCAAATGGTCAAAGACTAATATATAAAACCTACAGTTCTGCAGTTAACTTGGTAACATCCATGCAGGCACAGTTTGGGATGTAAAAAAAATGATTTTTTTTAATATTTTTTTTTATTTGTACTGTGACTTTGTATTGTGATGCATGACTGGACATAGAATAATTCCATCAGTTGACAGGGAATGCTTACTCCTCCATGGCACCTGATCCCACCTCTGGAATTCAAATAGTCTGTGATTGATCATGCCAATCATTTACTGAGATTGATGATTATTAATTATTATAATATTTTTTTTCAATTTTAGCATTTTTTGTTCATTTCAAAAATTTTCTGTACCCCAACTTTTTAGGCTGGACACACACACACACACACCCTCTCACACACACACACACATCACCACACACAGAGATACAATTGCATGTTTAATAAATTTTGGGTATATATTGTATATATATAATTTTTCAAAATTAATTTAATTTAAAGAAATCAACCAGATTATATCAATCATTTGAGCAACACTTCATCTGACAGAGAAGGAATTTAATCAAATGATTTTGTATAAAATACAACCTTCACATATTTTATTCTGCAAAAACAGCATGCACTTTATAAAATAGTACTTTGATCTGTAAATATCATATTAAAAATTGCTTAATACATGGAGGTACTTCAATATAAAAAATAATGTACATATAAATAGTTACCTTAAATTGAATCAAACACTGAAAACTCACATAAGCTAGGATATTTAAATATTTAAAAATACATATTCAACTAGTGCTAATTGTAACGGGAACCGTTACAGATGTTCCCCAAACGCTCCCCAACTCCCTTTTGTGCCATATTCCCTGTAAGCTTCATTACATAAGACAAACGCGATACATTTAAGATTTTAACAAAGTTTTCCCAGAAGTAATCAATTTCAGCATTGCACGCATGCGCATTTGAATGCATGTGCGTAATGACCATATCATCTTGTCTACACTAATCATATATTTTAATATACTAAATATTACAGCATCTAATCAAAAGATATCTTTAATCTAGTGTATTTGTAATTTTACTCATTTCACGTGCACGCACGTGCATGCATGTGCATTATGGTCATATCCTTTTGTAGGAGTCTATAATGTCTATCTATGTTCTGAATCCCATGCTGTTTGGTTGAAAACCAAGGGAGTTATAGCCATTTAAAGTTTAAGCCAATCAGATTGCAGTGCACGTGCATGCGCGTGATTTGATGAAAATTATTATATATCATATTGTAGGATATCCTAAAGCATGCCTATATTTTAAATTTCAAAGCATTTCGTCAAAAAACAAAAAAGATATTGAGAATTTTGTTTCAGCCAATCAGAGCGAAGCGCACGTTCATGCACGTGCAAGCATGTTCATGATGACCATACCTTCTTGTAGGAGTCCATTATGTCTGTCTATGTTCTAAATCCCATGCTGTTTGGTTGAAAAACAAGGGAGTTATAGCCATTGAAAGTTTAAGCCAATCAGATTGCAGCGCACGTGCATGCGCGTAATTTCATGACAATTTCTATACATCATATTGTAGAACATCCTAAAGTATGCCTATGTTTTAAATTTCATAGCATTTCGTCAAAAAACAGAAAAGATATTGAGATTTTTGTTTCAGCCAATCAGAGCGAAGCGCACGTGCATGCGCGTGAGTTCGTGCTAATTTGACAGTGTCACATTATCTACTCTATTAATATATCTTTATATAATGAGTTTCAAATCATTTCATTAAAAAATGTAAAAGTTATAGCTATATTAAGTATACAAGTCATTTCACGTGTTGCACGCGCACGCACGTGCATGCGTATGCGCGCAAAATGACCTTCGTTCCGCACACCTACACTACACACCCATTAACCCTAAAAAGGTTTTAGGTCAGTTGGGTGAACAGTTTCTGAGAACACTTCCGGACAAAAAAGTACCGGAGAACAAATAAGAAAAAAAAGAATAATAATAATAATAACTAGAGCAAAGCTCGTTGCAAAGCAACGAGTAGGTCTTCCGTCATGTTTGACCGGAAGTGGCTTTTATTTTTAACAAAAATGAGAAATAACGTCCAAAAATGGTTTGATTCCTCTAAATCCATGTTAATCATTGCAAAAATAAGCCATTTTCTGTTACTTCCGGTTGGACCGGAAGTGACGACGACGGACGGAAAATTAAATTTAATGCTCCCAGAGACATAGTTACCGAAAAACTTGTCAAAAACGGCAAAAATACGCGTTTTCCGACTACTTCCGGTTTGACCGGAAGTGACGATGCCGGACGTATTTTGACGACTTCAATAGATTAAGCTTGACATTTTGAACAACTTTGCTTCTTTGACGTATCACAAATTCGCAATACTTTTTGAGATATAAAGGAAAAACTTTCGGCCCCTCCAGGCCCCTGATTTAAGGGGCCAGCCCTTTTTTCGAGGTCTCATTTGGAAGATCTTGAAATTCTACACCTTTTTTGTTCTACATGCTTTAACAAAATATTTCTAGGTAAAAAGTTATCGTTGAAAAGGTGCTTAAAATTTTGAAATTCTTGATAGGACAATTTTCGGACCATAGCGAACGTCGGCGCTTCGTACTTCCGGTAGTTGTGATATACTTAGTGCACTTCTCCAAAGGTTGCTCTAGCATCACTGAAAATTTCAAGCTTCTATGTTAAGTACTTTTTGAGAAAACTGCCGGACAAATTGACCCTCTAAAAATCACTAAATCGCAGAAAACTCCGAACCGGAAGTGACGTCATCAAAATAAAAAAATATATATCTAGACTTTTTGATGTTCTATCAGACCTGAAAGTTTCATGAAAATCGATCGAGCTGTTCTAGAGAAATTGCGCGTACAAAATCGGTAAGAAAAAAAACAATAATAATAAAAATAGTGGAAAAGAAACCTAAGAAAAACAATAAGGTCTTCCGCTGAAGACGGAAGACCTTAACTAGTGCTAATTGTAACGGGGACCGTTACAGATGTTCCCCAAACGCTCCCCAACTCCCTTTTGGTGCCATATTCCCTGTAAGCTCTATTAAATAAGACATACTTTATGATATTTAGACTTAACCAACATTTTCCCAGAAGAATACAAAATATATTTTAATTTTAGCATTGCACGCGTGCTCACATGAATGCATGTACGTAATGATCATATCATCTTGTCTACACTATTTATGTATTTTAATATACTAAATATCAAAGCATTTAATCAAGAAGTATTCAAAAATACACTCAGTCAAACGTATTTTTGATTTTATTCATTTCACGTGCACGCACGTGCAAGCATGTACATGATGACCACACCTTCTTGGGGGAGTTCATTATGTCTATCTATATTCTAAATCCCATCCTCCTTGGTTGGAAACAAAGGGAGTAATAACCATTTAAAGTTTAAGCCAATGAGATTGCAGCGCACGTGCACGCGTTTGATTTCATTAAAATATTACATATCGTATTGTAGGATATCTTAATGCATGACTATATTTTAAATTTCAAAGCATTTCGTCAAAAAACAAAAAAGATATCGAGAATTTTGTTTCAGCCAATCAGAGCAAAGCGCACGCGCACGCACTTGCATGCATGTGCATATTGACCATACCTTCTTGTAGGAGTCCATTATGTCTGTCTATGTTCTAAATCCCATCCTGATTGGTTTAAAAACAAGGGAGTTATAGCCTTTTAAAGTCTTAGCCAATCAGATTGCAGCGCACGTGCATGCGCGTAATTTCATGACAATTGTTATATATCATATTGTAGGACATCCCAAAATATGCCTATGTTTTAAATTTCATAGCATTTTGTCAAAAAACAGAAAAGATATTGAGGTTTTTGTTCCAACCAATCAGAGCGAAGCGCACGTGCATGCGCGTGAGTTCTTGCTAATTTGACAGTGTCACATTATCTACAGTATTAATATGTCTTTATATAATGAGTATCAAATCATTTCATTAAAAAAATGTAAAAGTTATAGCTATATTAAGTATATCAATCATTTCACTCATATCACGCGCACGCACGTGCATGCGTATGCGCGCAAAATGACCTTCGTTCCGCACACCTACACTACACACCTATTAACCCTAAAAAGGTTTTAGGTCAGTTGGGTGAACAGTTTCTGAGAACACTTCCGGACAAAAAAGTACCGGAGAACAAATAAGAAAAAAAAAGAATAATAATAATAATAACTAGTGCTAATTGTAACGGGAACCGTTACAGATGTTCCCCAAACGCTCCCCAACTCCCTTTTCGTGCCATATTCCTGTAAGTTTCATAAAAATAGGCAGAATCTATGCATTTAAGACTTAAACAACATTGCATGAGCGTAATGACTATGTCATCTTGTCTACACTATTTTACTCATTGCACGTGCACGCACGTGCATGATGACCATACCTTCTTGTAGGAGTCCATTATGCCTGTCCATGTTCTTAATCCCATCTTGTTTGGTTGAAAAACAAGGGAGTTATAGCCATTTAAAGTTTAAGCCAATCAGATTGCAGCGCACGTGCATGCACGTGTTTACTTGATTATTGCTATATATCTTGTTGTAGGATATCCTAATGCATGGCTATGTTCAAAATTTCAAGGGATTTCATCAAAAAACAAGAAAGATATTGAGACTTTAGTTTCAGCCAATCAGAGCGAAGCGCACGTGCATGCGCGTGAGATCTTGCTATTTTGACCATGTCATATTGTCTATGCTACTACTATATTCTTATATTATGAGTTTCAAAGCATTTCATCAAAAAGGTATAAATTTACGCCTATATCAATTAAATCGGTCATTTCACGTGTTGCTCGTGCGCGCTCTTGCAAGCACGTGCACACAAAATGGCATGTTGACAATGTGATCTTATCTATAATTATAATATGTCTATATATTCTAAATATCGGAGCATTATATCGAAAAATGTAAAAGTTATGGCAATTTCAAGTATATTGGTCATTTCACGTGTTGAACGTGCGCGCTCTTGCAAGCACGTGCGCGCAAAATGACCTTCGTTCCGCAAATCTACATAACATGCCTACTTACCCTAAAAAGGTTTCCCCTTAATCGGATGTGTACTTTACAAGATCATTCGCGGACAAAATTTTCCCGAGAAGAAAAATAATAATAATAATAAGAAACAGAGTAAAAACAATATGTTCCCCAACTTCGTTTGGGGAACATAATTATAATAGGTGTCTCTAGAAAACAGTTAACTTTTTGTGGTTTCCTCTCTTAGTTTTATGATTCTGTATAGTTTTTTCTGATGTTTTGAGTTCCTTTAGGTAGAGCTCAGTTTTAGCGAGTTTGGCTCGGTACTGTTTCGCCATCCCTTCATCCTTCTTCTCGTGTCTTTGTAAAGCTTGTTTGAGTCGAGAAATCTCCTTCTCCGTGCTCCTGATTTCCTCCTCTGTTTTAAGCAACTGAATGTTTAAGTTCCTATCACTGCGATCAGAAAGTTCTTTTTCAAGTATTCTAACTGGAGCATTCTTTGTTTTGTGATTGTGATGATGTATAAGCTCTTTGATGTTTCCTTTTTTACCACCTAACTTTTTATTTATGAAATGGAACACATCACTGGTAGATGTCACATTTTCTGAGTCTGTTTTCTTAGTCATCTTGCCGTGTTTTCTCTTCTTCATTTTCTTTGAGACATTAAACATATCTTGATCGCCTGCTTTCTCTTTTAACTCCATAATTTTATCTAAGGACTTTCCCTGGGGAATAAGCTGAATGGGGACAGGCTCTGATCGACCTTGATTTAGTTTACCCAGTCCTTGACCCACAATGTACCCCATTTTGGCCATTAGTTTAGAGGCGATTCCTCTTGTATGTTCCTCCCATTCTCCAAGTTTTTCAGTTGTTTGGTTTGGTCTCATGAAGTACCTGGGTATCATTTCTTCCTCTGTAGATGATGTATCATCGGAATCGTCTTTTTCTAACACAGACTCCTTATCATCATTTACCTCCCCTTCGTCACTGGAATCGGAGCCAGTGGAGTGAAGTGGTAGAATGTCCTTTAAGTCCAGTGTGGCAGTTTCATTGTAATTATCGTAAGACACTGTATATTGGTGATCTTCCTTGAGGACATCGACAATGACAGCCCTATACCAAAGTCCGTCTGTGTAGAGAGCCAAGCACGGGGACTCCATCTTCAGTGAGTTATAGTTCGGTTCACAGTATTCCCCTAGATCATCAAGCTTGACTGAATGTCCGTGGGAGTTTCGACATTGATCTGAGGTGAATTTACATTTTCCTTCTATATGATATTCACATGGAAGCATTCCTACATGAGTGGGGTTACAAAATAATACAGAAACTATTATTTCATTATCGACATCTGAAATTTTTACATCTGTAACCATGGCATTATGGTAACTGGACGACCCCCAATCATGCATGTAAGGGGCTCGACAGAGAGTTCCCACTATTTCCGACAACTCCTCTGAAACCTCTTTCATTTCAAAACATTTTCCTGTTGTGCTTGAGGAGGAATCAGAGGTCTTAGCATCACGTCCTTTACTACACATCACACCCTCATACAGAGAAGCTTCAAAATCAGAATGTTTATCATCAGGTTCTTTAACAGAATTATCCTCTTCTGCAATGGCAGCCTGGAAGGCAGCATATTCATCGTCTTCTTCATTATCCTCATTGCTTTTCTCCTCTAAACCTTTGAGGATGTTGCTCTTTTTCAGTGATAACAATCCCTCCTCTGTCAGACACACCAATTCCTGTAAATCGCCCCTCAGTTGTACGAGATCGGCAATGTCTTCAGACCCAGCAGCTTGAATTGCTTGTTCTACTTGTGCTAATTGTGTTTTATAAAGTTCTAAAGATGCTGCAAGAGCGTTCTCATCCATTTTTTCCTTTCTCGTAAATGTCAACAGTTTTCCGTACGACCTACTTTTTGCAAACCGAGGAGTTCCGAGGGGCGTAATAGTCTGTATCATCCAGACGTATGCAGGTTCTTCCATAACTAGTAAAGGTGCAAACGTTTAAATGATACAGACTAGGAAATCACATTCGGAAGGCTTTGGGACAAGGTTCTACCGCCAAAACTGCGCACGAAAGTTCAAATGAGCAGCACTGTGATAAATATTGCAGAGGATAAGGAGAATATCCAGCAGCCCCCGAATAAGAAAATCTGCACAATGCCCACCGATTCTGTTATTCTCAAATTTGCAAAACTCTCCAAAAATGCGTTTTCTCCTACGAGGGGTTCAAAATTGGCAGCTGGATATGACTTGTACAGGTGACTTCTTTGTCTTCAGGACCACAGGGACTTGAGACAATCTTAGTAATATCGGGTATATAGTATAATAGGGGAGAAAGGACCGTTTATAGTGTTTTTTCCACGAATTGTCGCGCATTACCATTCTCATGACCCCCCTAGCAAAATTTAAACTTTATGTTAGTCACATTATATTCATTAAATTTAATGTAACGAAACTTATGTGGAAGCATCCTGGTATAGTGTAGATTCTAAATTGCCGCCATTAATTCCTCGATGCCTCGCCTCAAACTTTAAAAACTTCGATTTTTAAAAGATATTTAAAAGTTTTGCCAGTCAAAAGGCAGAATGATGCTTTCTTCAGTTATTGTAATAATGATCACATACCTTACTTCATTAAAACTTATAAAAAAACATTCCAACTTCCAAGAATTGTTAACACTACACTGTTTTTTCCACGCAATTATATAGGAAAAATATTTGGAAATCTTCTTCTCAAGAACCACTGTGAAACTTATGTGGAAGCATCCTGATATAATGTAGATTCGTTCATTACCATAATTTTCCCATACTTGTCATCTGTTGCACTTAGCAAAATTTAAAAATATAAGTGCTTATATATTAGTCACATTATATTCACAAGATTAAATTTAGTAGTTTTTTGCTTTGATTTTATAGAGTTTTTATACTTTCTCTTTGTAAATTATAAAAAAAAAAATGCATGCATAAAGCCATATTAAAACTGAAAAATTTTAATTGATGATTTTTAAATGTAGTAATTGATGCCTTTTAGTAATTGGAATATAGAGTGAATGGGGTACAGGGTGAATAAAAATTACAGCAAGCAGACTCTGGGTGAAAAGACAAGCATGTTGACAGATAATCCAATACCATGTTAAGTGCACACAGGTCAAATTGAGGGTTTTTCTTGCTATTCAATGTTTTCATTGATTTGACTTAAGTAATCTTGTACTTAAGACAGACTAAACATATCAATTTGAAAACATATTTTTGATTTTTATGCCCTGCCATGAATATGGCCGGGGCATATAGTGTTTGTCATGTCCGTCTTCCGTCCTTCTGTCTTTCCGTCCTTCTGTCCTTCCGTCACACTGTGTTTAGCTCTGTCAAAGCTAAGTTTCAAAGAAACTATCCAAGATATTTATACCCCCCGCAAACGAAGTTTGGGGGGGTATATAGTAGAGTTGGGTATTGCGAGTGAAAACCATATTGCGATATATTGCAATATTTTACGTTGAATATTGCAATATATTGCGATATATTGTAGATTAATTATCATTAATAAATTTGTACAGAAAGTTTAAAACGCTGTCAAGTTCAAAGACTATTTAAATTTATCTATAAATTTTAAAGGAGGGGGGGGATAAGACATTAATCGCACACATAATTATAATAACTTTTAATAAAAATTATAATAACTTTTAATAAAAATGTATTTTCAAATTTAAAAAAGTTTATGCATAGTTTATTCTTTATAGCTTTTTTTGGGGGGGGGGGGGGGGTTGTTCTATTGAAATAGCATAAAATGTAATTTAATGATTAAAACAATACATACTATATAGAAATTTTATGTGGTCACAGAATAAAATTAAAGCCAGAAAAAAATTGTAACCTATTTTCGGGCGTTTAGTGTTTTAGTCTGACCCGACCTAATTTCACATTATGACATACGATCAGGAACTGCATTGGCCTATTTCTTTTGTTTTAATATACATGCTCCTGGTAAAGCATGAAGGTGTTTTCTTTCTTAATAATTTGATTTAAAAGTCTTTTTATTAATTATTAATTTTATTTTAAAGTAATATATTTAAAATTGCGACAGTGAATGAAAAGCTTCCTTTCTCTCTCTCTTCTCTCTATCTGCCTCTGAAAGCCGACGAAGTATTTTTATTACTAGATTGAAAAGGCCTGGGGAAGTTACAAGTATTATTTCAGCAGTTTCTACAATAAAGGGGGTTTTTATATATTTTTATAAATATCGTGAAATACCGGTATCTGATTTTTATACGCCCGTCTGAAGACGGGACGTATTATGTTATAGGCTTCGTGTCCGTCCGTCTGTCCAGCTGGCTGTCCGTCTGTCTGTGCAATCGTGTCTGGTCCATATCTTTCTTACAGAGGGACATTAGAATCTACTACTCCACACTAAGATTGCTCATAACCTAAGGGTGTGTCATGACCTTGACCCAAGGTCATTTGGGGAAGTTCAAGGTCACTGGAAGAAAAATTTCATAATTCGTGTCCGGTCCATATCTTTCTTATGGATAAACTTGGTAGGTTCTCATTTCACACAAAGATTGCCCATGACCCAAGGGTGTGTCATGACCTTGACCCAAGGTCATTTGGGGAAGTTCAAGGTCACTGGGAGAAAAATTTCAAAATTCATGTTTGACACATATCTTTTATGGATAATCTTGACAGGTTCTCATTTCACACAAAGATTGCCCATGACCTAAGGGTGTGTCATGACCTTGACCCAAGGTCATTTGGGGAAGTTCAAGGTCACTGGAAGAAAAATTTCATAATTCGTGTCCGGTCTATATCTTTTTTAAGGATAAACTTGGTAGGTTGTCATTTCACACAAAGATTGCCCATGACCCAAGGGTGTGTCATGACCTTGACCCAAGGTCATGTGGGAAGTTCAAGGTCACTGGAAGAAAAATTTCATAATTCATGTCCGGTCCATAATTTTCTTATTGATAAACTTGGTAGGTTCTTATTTCACTCAAAGATTGCCTATGACCCAAGGGTGTGTCATGACCTTGACCCAAGGTCATTTGGGGAAGTTCAGGTCACTGGAAGAAAAGTTTTATAATTTGTGTTTGATACATATCTTTATTATGCAAAAACTTACTTCTGAAAAACCCAGCGAGGGGTATTTTGTCCCGATTGGACAGTTCTAGTTTCATCAAACTTCATATGCTGATAGATATTGATGAGAGCTATGTAATTGCATCAACATTTTTTTTTTTACCTTGACCTTGACCTCACTTTTCTTGAATTAGTGTTTTGCTAAGTTTTAAACATACCATTCAAGATGGTGTTTTGCTTTGAACTTATAGAACTATAAGCCCTACTTAGACCAAACTTGCATGGATGATGCATCTTAAGATGGACACTACCAGAATTGCTTCAGATGCTGGATCTGACCTACATTTTCCAGATGAGTGCAGTGATTGGGATAAGCTAGGGAGTAAATGTGACAATGGCGCACTCCAAGTCAGTGTCAATGTGACATTTCAAAATTCAATGCGCCAAACAGACTTTTTAATGAGACATTTCCTAGTGACAAACTTGCAATTGATTAGCTGCTGTTAAAATATTTCAGTTGACTTTACTTAATTGAAATTGTCAAATTATTGAATGACGACATTAAAAGATACAAAATTAGTGTATTTAAATTCACAGGTGTCAGAATTATAAATAATAAACACTGCAATTCAAATGAAATTCTTTATTTTTTGTATCCGATGTTTGACATCTTTAAAATGATTTAGATCTTGTTAAATTTTTGTTTTGGTTTTTCCTCCGAGACTACATCATCAGTCTTACCGTCAGATTCATCTCCATTTGTTCTGTCAGCATGTTATACTTCTTCCGAGTCATTTTCTACCGATTTACTTGAATTCTGTTTGTTAGGATTGTTAAAATTGAGAAAAGTCTGCCCTTTATCGGTAGATCTACAAGCTACTTTCTTGGGCAGCGCTGCACTCCTGACACCATTTTATTTCGTGCGCATTGGCCAATCAGAAAACACGTAACTGTTTGATTAGATACTGGAGAAAAGAAAGTCATACGAACGCTTTAACTGAACGACATTAAATACTGTTTTTTCAAGTGTAAATTGACAGCGATTGTCGTGGAAAAGACTACAAGCGCTTGCGGGAAAGCTCAAAGTTTAAAAGTATGTAGAGCATGATTATATTATGCGCCACGATGGCACACCGTTTTTAGGTCACCTGAGTAACTCAGGTGACCTATTGCTATCCGTTTTCGTCCGTCGTCGTGTGTCGTGTGTTAACATTTGAACATTTTCAGCTTCTTCTCTGAAACCACTTAACCAATTTCAACCAAATTTGGTATACAGCATCTATGGGTGAAGGGGAACAAAAATTGTGAATTTCATGGTCCCTGCCCCCCTGGGGCCTGGGGGGTGGGGCAAAAACCACTAAAATTATTGCAATCTTTAAAAATCTTCTTCTTTACTCCTGGACATCAAGCAGGCAAACTGTTGTTATGAATGTAATGAGCATTGAGTCCTCTACTTAAATTGTGAAATTCATGGCCCCAGGGTCAGGGGTTCTAGTGCTAGGGCGGGGCTACATAGATTATATAGTGAAAATGCATGATTTCTTTGAAAATCTTCTTCTCTGCTCCTAGGTATTAAATAAACTAACCAAGCACATAGTGATGATGAGCAAGAGTGCCTCTTCTTAAATTGTGAATTTTATGACCCCAGGGTCAGGGGTTCTGGTGTTAGGGCGGGGCTCTATTGGTTATATAGTGAAAATGCATTAATTCTTTGAAAATCTTCTTCTCTACTTCTGGGTATTAAATAAACTAACTAAGCACATAGTGATGATGAGAAAGAGTGCCTCTTCCTAAATTTTGAATTTTATGACCCCAGGGTCAGGGGTTCTGGTGTTAGGGCGGGGCTCTATTGGTTATTTAGTGAAAATGCATTAATTCTTTGAAAATCTTCTTCTCTACTTCTGGGTATTAAATAAAGTAACTAAGCACATAGTTATGATGAGCAAGAGTGCTTCTTTCAAAATTGTGAATTTTATGACCCCAGGGTCAGGGGTTCTGGTGTTAGGGCGGGGCTCTATTGGTTATTTAGAGAAAATGCATTAATTCTTTGAAAATCTTCTTCTCTACTTCTGGGTATTAAATAAAGTAACTAAGCACATAGTTATGATGAGCAAGAGTGCTTCTTTCAAAATTGTGAATTTTATGACCCAGGGTCAGGGGTTCTGGTGTTAGGGCGGGGCTCTATTGGTTATATAGTGAAAATGCATTTATTCTTTTAAATTCTTTCCTTTGCTCCTGTGTTTAATGCCAATGATCCAAATATATATATTCATGATGAAGAAAGGTGACCTAGCAAAATGGTTATTTTTTGTGCCCTCGCCCCTTCCCTGGGTAGGGGTGAAGGGGGGGGGGGTGTACAAAGTCTGAAAATAAATTAATGCTTTGAAATTTGCTCTTTGGTGTGTTAATCAACCATTTTATGATAAAATTTGCAAAATTTTGAAATATGTGGCCTCAGGATCAGTTGTTCCTTTGGGATGAGGTGTACAACTGGTTATAAAGTGGAAGTGCATTTTCTCTTAATGTTACTCTGATCTACCTCTGGGTATTAAGTAAATAGAGTTAGCATGCTAAGTCAAAATTATTATAAGCAATGGTACCTCTTTCAAAATTGTGAATTGCGAATTCTGGTTTAAAACATGAACCAAATTTAATTGTTTGAAAGTTGTTGCACAATACTCAGGTGACCTATAAGGCCCGTGGGCCTCTTGTTAATTTTAATGTGACATTTTAAAATTTAATGCGACTATGGCGCAGGGCGCGTGCTTATCCCAATCACTGTGAGTGACCAGGTTAAAGTTTTTGGAGCAAGTCCATTTCCAAGGAAATATAAGCCCTACCCAAACCAAACTTTCACGAATGATGCATCTAGGGATGAACACTACCAGACTTGCTTCGGATGCTGGATCTGACCTGCATTTTCCAGATGAGTGACCAGATTAAAGTTTTTGGAGCAGGTCCATTACTAAGGAACTATAACTAAGGAACTATAACCTACCTGGACCAAACTTGCATGGATGATGCATCTAGGGATGCATCACGAATGATGCATCTAGGGATGAACACTACCAGACTTGCTTCGGATGCTGGATCTGACCTGCATTTTCCAGATGAGTGACCAGATTAAAGTTTTTGGAGCAGGTCCATTACTAAGGAACTATAACTAAGGAACTATAACCTACCTGGACCAAACTTGCATGGATGATGCATCTAGGGATGGATACTACCAGACTTGCTTCCGATGCTGGATCTGACCTATATTTTCATTCCCAAGTAACTCTAAGCCCTACCTGAACCAAACTTGCATCTAGGGATGAACACTACCAGTCTTGCTTCAAATTCTGGATCTGACCTATATTTTCATTCCCAAGTAACTATAAGCCCTACCTGAACCAAACTGATCATATTTTATACACATACAAATTTTCATGTTGCTTTACTAATATATCCTCGGCGGGGCATTCATGTCCTATGGACATATTTCTAGTTATAATTTCTTTTAAAGTAGGTTGTTTGAAAACTGAGGCTTAGTATAACATTTGTCATTATGATTGAAACAATTGTAAGATTATTATAGTGATTTTTTTTTTCTTTAAAAAATGGTTTGATTTTTTCAGTGCTTATGACTATGTAATTCCTGCAAAAGGGAAAGTGATTGCCAAAACAGACATCCAGATAGCCCTGCCAGACGGCTGTTATGGAAGAGTTGGTATGAGAAAACAAATCTGAAGCATTACAATGTGTAATGTATACAGATATTCAGGGTTTCAGATTGGCGTCGGCCATCGGCCATTTGCCGATAAAAATTCAGAATGGCCGGAAAAAAACAAATTAACCTGCCAAAATGGCCTATGAGTTTTACATTGAGCAGACATAATGGCCGATTATTTTCTCTATGTAAAGGCCAGTCGTATCACAGGAGTCGGCAATTTTATCAATAAAATAGAAAATAAATGGTAAACAGGCATAAATCGTACCAGTGAGCTTTGCGAGCGTTCGCTCGCTACGCTCGCGAAGCTCACTAGTAGGATTTATGCCTGTTTACCATTTATTTTCTAATTATTGATAAAATTGCCGACTCCTGTGGTCGTATAGTATTTCTCCCATTCAGATCTGATTGTTTTTTTTTAATACTTTCTGCAACTGCAGATTCAATCAGCCAATTACATTTAGGTATTAGATTCTGACAAAAAATACTTAAATTTTATTTCCAAATCCAATTGCAATGAGCATAAAAGTAGTGATGAATGTTTAAAACATCGAAGGAATCCATGTCATGTCGTTATTTTTACCGCCATGATTGAACATGAGGTCAGACTAATAGCAGAAAGCGGACAATATATGTAAGGTTTTACTATACAAAGGAAACATTTTTAATCTAGCCAATCTTTAAATGTAATTATACATATAATGAGAAATATAGGTCTAATTTCTGGATAACAATTTTTTAAAAAATTGTAATAATAAGAAATAAATTCATGACTGTAATGAAAGGGGTGAGACTAATATCAGTAAAACATCCATTGAATGGAATTAAACAAAACAATTTCCATTCTGTTTCAATAAATTGATTTTGTTTAAAAGAAACAAAATAAATATTATTTTCCTTTTTAGCTCACCTCAACGAAGTTGGGGGGAGCTTATGTGATACCGTCGGTGTCGGCGTCCCGGGTTAAGGTTAAGTTTTTTGGAGCAGTTTTCTTTTTAAGTACTTCTATGTCCTATATTGATTGGACATGCATGAAAGATGTTTCTAATGTGTTTCATTGTACCAGTCAAAGTTTCAGATGCTGCAATTTCAGCAAAGGAATGACCAGGTTAATGTTTTTGGTGCAGGTTAACATTTTTGGTGCAGTTTTTAGCTCACCTGAGCCGAAGGCTCAAGTGAGCTTTTCTGATCAAAATTTGTCCGTTGTCTGTCGTCGTTGTCGTTGTCGTTGTTGTCGTTGTCGTTGTTGTCGTCGTAAACTTTTCACATTTTCATCTTCTTCTCAAGAACCACTGGGCCAATTTCAACCAAACTTGGTACAAAGTATCCTTGTGTGAAGGGGATTCAAGTTTGTTCAAATTGCCCTTTTCCAAGGGGAGATAATCATGAATTTGTTAAAAATTAATGGCATTTTTAAAAAATCTTCTTCTCCAGAACCGCTGGGCCAGGAAAGATGAAACTCATGTGAAAGCATCCTCAGGTAGTGTAGATTCAAGTTTGTTCAAATCATGACCCCCGGGGCAAGGGTGGGGCCAAAATGGCCGACCCAAGTTTTACGTAGGAATGTATAGGAAAAATCTTTAAAAATCTTCTTCTCAAGAACCACTGGGCCAGGAAAGATGAAACTCATATGGAATCATCCTCAGGTAGTGTAGATTCAAATTTGTTCAAATCATGACCCCCGGGGCTAGGGTGGGGCCAAAATGGCCGAACAAAGTTTTACATAGGAATATATTGGAAAAATCTTTAAAAATCTTCTTCTCCAGAACCACTGGTCCAGGAAAGATGAAACTCATGTGGAATCATCCTCAGGTAGTGTAGATTCAAGCTTGTTCAAATCATGACCCCGGGGCAAGGGTGGGGCCAAAATGGCCGACCCAAGTTTTACATAGGAATATATTGGAAAAATCTTTAAAAATCTTCTTCTCCAGAACCACTGGTCCAGGAAAGATGAAACTCATGTGGAATCATCCTCAGGTAGTGTAGATTCAAGCTTGTTCAAATCATGACCCCCGGGGCAAGGGCGGGGCCAAAATGGCCGACCCAAGTTTTACATAGGAATATATAGGAAAAATCTTTAAAAATCTTCTACTCCAGAACCACATGGCCAGGAAAGATGAAACTCTTGTGAAATCATCCTCAGGTAGTGTAGATTCAAGTTTGTTCAAATGATGACCCCCGGGGCAAGGGTGGGGCCAAAATGGCTGACCCAAGTTTTACATAGTAATATATAGGAAAAATCTTTAAAAATCTTTTTCACCAGAACCACTGGTCCAGGAAAGATTAAACTTATGTGGAATCATCCTCAAGTAGTGTAGATTCAAATTTGTTCAAATCATGACCCCCGGGGCAAGGGTGGGGCCAAAATGGCCGACCCAAGTTTTACATAGGAATATATGAGAAAAATCTTTAAAAATCTTCTTCTCAAGAACCACTAGGCCAGGAAAGATGAAACTCATGTGGAATCATCCTCAGGTAGTGTAGATTCAAATTTGTTCAAATGATGACCCCCGGGGCAAGGGTGGGGCCAAAATGGCCGACCCAAGTTTTACATTATATATAGGAAAATTCTTTAAAAATCTTCTCCAGAACCACTGGTCCAGGAAAGATAAAACTCTTGTGGAATCATCCTCAGGTAGTGTAGATTCAAGTTTGTTCAAATGATGCCAGGGCAAGGGTGGGGCCAAAATGGCTGACCCGAGTTTAACATAGGAATATAAAGGGAAATATCTTTAAAAATCCTTCTCCAGAACCACTGGGCCAGGAAAGATGAAACTCATGTGGAATCATCCTCAGGTAGTGTAGATTCAAATTTGTTCAAATGATGACCCCCAGGGCTAGGGTGAGGCCAAAATGGCCGACCCAAGTTTTACATAGGGATATATAGGGAAACCTTTTAAAATCTTCTTTTCAAGTACTTCAAAGCTATGATTAGTGATATTTATATGGAATCATCCTCAGGTAAGATTCTAGTTTGTTCAAATGATGAACGCCTGGTAAGCCCGATGTGCTCAGGTGAGCGCTGTGGCCCCTGGGCCTCTTGTTGGTGTAGGTCTCATTTCCGAGTAACTATAAGCCCTATGTTGACCAAACTTACATGGATGGTACATCTTAGGATGCATACTACCAGACTTGCTTCGGATGCTGAATCTGACCTACATTTTCCGGTTGAGTGAACAGGTTAAAGTTTTTGGTGCAGGTTTCATTTCGAAGATACTATGAGCCCTATAATGACCAAACTTGCATGGATGGTACATCTTAGGATGCATTCTACTAGACTTGCTTCGGATGCTGAATCTGACCTACATTTTCCGGTTGAGTGAACAGGTTAAAATTTGGTGCAGGTTTCATTTCCAAGTTTCTATGAGACATATAATGACCAAACTTGCATGGATGGTACATCTTAGGATGCATACTACCAGTCTTGCTTCGGATGCTGAATCTGACCTACATTTTCTAGTTGAGTGAACAGGTTAAAGTTTTTGGTGCAGGTTTCATTTCCAAGTTACTATGAGACATATAATGACCAAACTTGCATGGATGGTACATCTTAGGATGCATATTACAAGACTTGCTTTGGATGCTGAATCTGACCTACATTTTCCGGTTGAGTGAACAAGTTAAAATTTTTGGTGCAGGTTTCATTTCCAAGGTACTATGAACCCTATAATGACTAAACTTGCCTGGATGGTACATCTTAGGATGCATTCTACCAGACTTGCTTCGGATGCTGAATCTGACCTACATTTTCCGGTTGAGTAAACAGGTTAAAGTTTATGGTGCAGGATTCATTTCCAAGTAACTTTGAGCCGATAATGACCAAACTTGCATGGATGGTACATCTAAGGGTGCATTCTACTAGGCTGGCTTCAGAAGCTGAATCTGACCTACATTTTCCGGATTAGTGAAAAGGTTAGTTTTTTATACAGGTTTCGTTTCCAAGTAACTTTGAGCTTTATGTTGAACAAACTTGCATGGATGATACATCTTAGGATGCAGACTAATGGACTTGCTTCAGATGCTGAATTCGACATACATTTTCCAGATAATAGACCTCGTACAAGTTATGGGTGCAGGTCTATCACCAAGAAACTATAAGGCTTATATAAACCAAAGTTGCACAAATGATGCATCAAGGGATGAAAACTCTCAATCTTGCTTCAGATGCTGGATTTTAATTACATTTTCATGATTAAGAACTAGTTTTAAGTTTTTATACAGGTCTATTCCAAAGTATCAAAATTGCATAAATTTTGCATTTTTGGTTGTACACTTTTTGTTGGTTAATTGTTTGACTTAATTTGCCTTACTTAAAGACAACATTCGTTGAGGTGAGCTCTGTAATCTCTGATTACCTATGTTTTATTAAAAAAAAAACTAGTGAACATTTTTGAATATTTTTTGTAATTAAATGATTTTTTGTAAAAGTCAGATAAATCTGAGTAAGTTTAACTTTTCTATTGGCCTATAGTTTTAGGAAGTTTAGGACAAAATGGCCTATAACTTTTCTGGTAAATATGCCATATGTCCTATAGTTACTTATTTCAATCTGAAACCCTGACTGATATGGTGTTTGTTACCATTGGAATTTTTGACTGAACTTAAATTTAGCAAAATTAACATGTTAATGATTTTCACAAAAATGAATTGTACACCTATTTCTTGTATTAAATGGATTCACAAAAATGAATTATATACCTATTTCATGTAAAACTTTTATTTTTCTTCAGCTCCTCGATCAGGACTGGCAGCAAAACATTTTATTGATGTGGGAGGTAAGTAGAATCTGTGTAAATGAAAATAAGAAAAAATGAAAGCAAAAGTCTGAAAATCAGAGCTACTTGTTACTACAGATCTGTTATTAATATATACCAGTGCACTCACTGCATTTCATCAGAGTTCAAGAAGTCGTGTTTACAACTGGGTAAAAGTATGTTATACTATCTCATGGTAGGCTTTTAGTAATCTCCTGTTTTCTTTCCTTGATCAGCTGGAGTGATAGACCAGGATTACAGAGGAAATGTGGGAGTGGTCATGTTTAACTTTGCAGATCAAGACTTTGAAGGTACCATACAGGGTGTCATTTTATATGATGGATAGCTCTAGAAAATTTAATATGCCTTACAAATCTGCAGAATTTTTTACCTGATTATTTCCATAATTCACCCACAGAATTTTGACATTCCATAAATATGACAGTATGTGCAAGATGCTGATAAATTTAGTAATTCTATGGCTAAGCTAAAATCATGCTGCTTGATTTATGTTTCAAGATGCACATAGACTTAAAATACCATGCCAATTTTCTTAACACTAAATTTATTCACATGATTTTGTAGTGAAGAAGGGAGATAGGATAGCCCAGCTGATTTGTGAGAGAATTTACATCCCAGACCTGCAGGAGTGTGAGGTAAGTCAATTATTTCCTCAAGTGAGAGATTGAATCAAAAATTTTATTTTCCTTATCAATTCTCAGATTCAGATGAATGCTTAATGTTGAAGAACAGTACAAGCTTCATTTCTGTCCAGTAATTGCCCTTGATTTTGGAGTCTTTATAGAAGGCAATCTTTTGATATGTGTTCTAAATACTTTTCAATTTTCGCCTATATGGGTGTAACCTACTTTGCCATTTTATGTTTATAATGTACATTTCCTGTTTACAGAAGCTGGACGACACAGACAGGGGAGAGGGAGGGTTTGGATCGACGGGGAAAAACTGAATCTGTTTTCTCACTGAGACCTGAAAGTTCTTATGTTAGATAATGAAGTCTGAGGATGAGAAGTGTCTGGAAGGATGAGAAAGAGCTGGAAAACGTTCATAGGATCATTGGAATGGTCAGAAAAAGAGAGTAATATGACTGAGGTGTGAAATTTCTAGTTGCTCATGGCAGCTGTAGAAAGAGTACATTTGACTTAGACTTGAAATGTTTATAAATTACATGTAGATGAAGCTTGTCAATTATTTCTCTATGTCTGGGGCAATCCAATTTCTTTTATATAAAAATATGTCTGACACAATATTTGTACCATGACATGATTCATGAAATCTTGTATGTTATGCAGTTTTCATTGTGCATCATAATCACCAAGTTTTTCACTTTAATATCAAAATATTTTTTCATATTTAATATCTGTTGTTAAACTATATCGTTGAGTTCTCTGCATGTTTTGATATCATCCTCACATATTAATGTGATAGCTATATTTTGCTGTATCATCCCAGACCCACTTTGCCGATTTATTACTATTGGCTTTGTTGCACATGATTTAAAATTGAATCATCTAAAGAATATGTTCTTGAGTGAACTATTTTTTAATTAAATCATGCTAAATCTGTGAAATACCAATTGAAATATTTGGAAAGAATGTTTTTTTTCTTATTTTGTTTTGATTTTTTGGATGAATGCTTTTTATGTTTGAATTTTTATGCATATTCAGTACATATTTAGTGCTTAAAGAAAGACTGTTTCATTTTACTGCTTTCTTTTTCCATGATACCACCTTGTGTGTTCAGTTTGTATATAAATACATGTATTAAAATGTACATGTAATTAGGATAGCATTATTTTCATACTTTCTTTCCAAAATTAAACAGTACTTAATATTCACACTGTCTTAAGTTTGTCTTTTGTGTGCAGAAATTTTATGTTGCAATGATTGAATTTTTAGTTGAGCATTCACTTTTACAAGATCTAATTCAATGGATGCTAGCAGGTTACAACACTTTGGAATTCTCTCACTTGTAAAATAGAGCATGTCCTTTACAACAGTACTATATACCTATAAGTGTAATGTGTAAATGTTCTCACTTATAAAGTATTTTGTATTGAATGATACATGGGTATTATTCAAGAGATATGTATGACATGATATTTAAAAAGAGGGGTAAATATAAGAATCTTAGATGTACTCCGTTGTGGAAAAAAGGTTGGGTTTGGTCATTCAATTGGAAAATCATTCTTTTATATTGAGGAATTCTGACTATTAAGGTTTCGTCAAAGGTCAACATGTCCAAAAATTTATTTTTACAATAACTCCAAAACTATGTGAGATATAAAGTTAAAACTTTTACAGTTTATAAATTTTTCATTGATTAACAGATGGAAAGTATCACTTGATAAAAAATACTTGGAAAAAATATTTAAATTGAGAAAAAATCTTTTTTAAAATGCATATTTTTTCAGAAAATGCACCTAATTAATTCCGTACTTTTAGTGAAAACCATCACTGCAGAAACAAAATATGTTTATCAATGAAGGGCAAGTTGGACTTGGATAGCCTCTGGAAAGTTGTTTTCCCTGTTTATTTTGTCCAAATGTTAAGACTTGAAAGCGAAAGTACAATGCAAATGGCGGGTTCTACATGGGACTTGTCTTTATATATGTCATGCTTTTAATAACAGCCTTTCAGAGACCATTCACGTCCAACTTGGCATTCAATGATAAACATATATTATTTCTGCAATGATGGTTTTCACAAAAAGGACAGAATTAAGCATGTGCATTTTTTTAAAAATATGCACATTTTCTGATTCAATTTTTCTCAAAAAATATCTTTTTTAAAATATTTGTTATCAAGTGATACTTTCTATCTGTTAATCAATTATACATTTATAAACTGTAAACATTTTGACTTTATACCACACATAGTTTTGGAGCTATTGTAAAAATAATTTTTTAGACATGTTGATCTTTGACGAAACCTTAAGAAATAGGAAAAGGGGTAGGGGACCAAATGTTGAATGTGACTATAACCAATAGTACTTAATCCGATTAATCCAATACACTAAGAATATGAATCCTGAAAATGGAATAAACGGACCTCTATGATCAGGTGCAAAGGTAGCTGCAGAACTGTAGCTCTCCGAAAAAAAAAATACATTGATAGACCGGAGAGCTACAGTGCCACCCATTGAAAAAACTATATTTATTGCGCACAAAAAAGTGCACTGTTTTTCGATTTATTTCTATGTTTATAAACTGTCATCTCAAAATATGACCGTGTGTTCTTATTTTATATTCTTTTCTGTTTCCACAACATAACATTCCTTATGATTTGTTGTTAATAGCCCATCTGGCTCTGAAATTGAGATCGACAAAAATACCGTCTATTTACACTGCCATTTTAGTTTGCAATATACATGTTATTCGGTCCAACGCACTTCATGCTGATGTCAACTACTAGAGTACTTCACAGATTAGTAAGGAATTGTTTAAATCTATCTTTTTCGCGATTTAGATAAGAATTTGGAAGAATGAATCCAGATCTAAGCCCAACTTTTTGTGCGCAATATACAGTTTTTAGCTCACCTGAGCCGAAGGCTCAAGTGAGCTTTTCTGATCACATTTTGTCCTTCGTCCGTCCGTCTGTTCGTCCAGCTGTCTAGCTGTCCGTCTGTAAACTTTTCACATTTTCGACTTCTTCTCAAGAACCACTGGGCCAATTATGACCAAACTTGTTACAAAGCATCCTTGGGTAAAGGGGAATTTAAATTGTTAGAAATAAAGGGCCAAGTCCCCTCACGAGGGGAGATAATCAAGAAAAGACAAAAACAGGGTGGGGTCATTAAAAAATCTTCTCAAGAACCACTGGGCCAGAAAAGCTGAAACTTATGTGGAAGCATCCTAGGGTAGTGTAGATTTTAAATTGTTCAAATCATAACCCCCCGGGAGAAGGGCGGGGCCGCAATGGGGAATCAAAGTTTTACATAGAAATATATAGGAAAAATCTTTGAAAATCTTCTTCTCAAGAACCACTGGGCCAGAAAAGCTGAAACTTATGTGGAAGCATCCTAGGGTAGTGTAGATTTTAAATTGTTCAAATCATAACCCCCGGGAGAAGGGCGGGGCCACAATGGGGAATGAAAGTTTTACATGGAAATATATAGGAAAAATCTTTGAAATCTTCTTCTCAAGAACCACTGGGCCATGCAGAAAAGCTGAAACTTATGTGGAAGCATCCTAGGGTAGTTTAGATTCTAAATTGTTCAAATCATGACCCACAGGGGAAGGGCGGGGCCACAATGGGGAATCAAAGTTTTACATAGAAATATATAGGAAAAATCTTTGAAAATCTTCTTCTCAAGAACCACTGGGCCATGCAGAAAAGCTGAAACTTATGTGGAAGCATCCTAGGGTAGTTTAGATTCTAAATTGTTCAAATCATGACCCACAGGGGAAGGGCGGGGCCACAATGGGGAATCAAAGTTTTACATAGAAATATATAGGAAAAATCTTTGAAAATCTTCTTCTCAAGAACCACTGGGCCATGCAGAAAAGCTGAAACTTATGTGGAAGCATCCTAGGGTAGAGTAGATTCTAAATTGTTCAAATCATGACCCCCAGGGGAAGGGCGGGGCCACAATGGGGAATCAAAGTTTTACATAGAAATATATAGGAAAAATCTTTGAAAATCTTCTTCTCAAGAATCACTGGGCCAGAAAAGCTGAAACTTATGTGCACATGGAAGGATCATGGGGTAGTGTATATAGATTTCAAAATGTCTAAATTATGATCAATTGAGTAGGATGGGGATGCATTATGTATTACAAGGGGGAAATCTGGTAAAGAACAGAATGGTCAAAGTTTCTCAGGTGAGCGATGTGGCCCATGGGCCTCTTGTTACAATGGATGGGACTGTAGCTTTGGTCTGTCAAAATATTTTTTTCGGAGAGCTGCAGTTAGTGCAAAGGAGGAGTAAACGCCCTATGTAGACTTTTCTTACCTGGTGTTCAGGTAAATGGAGTAGTCCATAGGTTAGTAAAAGTGATGACCAAACAAATGGAGGGAAAATCTGTCAAAAAAATATGACTCAAATTGCAAACATGAATATTGGAAATGCTGTCATTAAGCTACTAAAATCTTAGCGGTTATTAAACTATATCTGTTTTAACGAGGTTGGTTCTGATATTTTAGGTCTTAAAGTTTTGTGTCCAGTATATATTTGGTATCTACACATATAGCTTCGTAAAAAAATAAATTTAAACAAGAGGCCCATGGGCCTTATAGGTCACCTGAGCATTATGCAACAACTTTCCAGTGACTGAATTTGATTTAAATTTAAAAATGCATGTCAACTAATCAGTAGTGCTCCTTTCACACATGAACCCCTGACCCTTAGGCCTAGATCCAAACATTGCATAATTTTTAAAAAGGCATCCTTGCTTTTCAAAAATATTTGATTAATAACAAGGAGCAGATTTCAAACAATTCATTCATTTTTAGTATATAAGTACCCCCCCCCCCCCCCGTGTATGGTACCCCTGACCCAGGGGCCTTGAAATTCGCAATTCTAGAAAATTAGGACCCTTGCTCATCATAACTTTATAGGTATGTTCACCTGCTTAATACCTAGAAAGGAAAATTTTCAAAGAATTTATTAGAATTTCACTATAAAATCACCAGAAACCCGACCCTGGGGCCATGAAATTCATAATTTTGGAAGAGGCATTCTTGTTCATCATTACTATATACTTAGTTAGTTTATTTAATACCTAGGAGCAGAGAAAAAAAATCAAAGAATCCATGTATTTTCACTATATAATCAATAGATCCCCGCCCTAACACCAGAAACCCGACCCTGGGGCCATAAAATTCATAATTTTGGAAGAGGCATTCTTGTTCATCATTACTATATACTTAGTTAGTTTATTTAATACCTAGGAGCAGAGAAAAAAAATCAAAGAATCCATGTATTTTCACTATATAATCAATAGATCCCCACCCTAACACCAGAAACCCGACCCTGGGGCCATAAAATTCATAATTTTGGAAGAGGCATTCTTGTTCACCATTACTATATACTTAGTTAGTTTATTTAATACCTAGGAGCAGAGAAAAAAACCCAAAGAATCCATGTATTTTCACTATATAATCGGTAGAGCCCCGCCCTAACACCAGAACCCCTGACCCTGGGGCCATAAAATTCACAATTTTGGTAGAGGCACTCTTGCTCATCATAACTATGCACTTAGTTAGTTTATTTAATACCTAGGGGCAGAGAAGAAGATTTTAAAGAATTCATGTATTTTCACTATATAATCAATAGAGGTCCCGCCCTAACACCAGAACTGCTGACCCTGGGGCTATAAAATTCACAATTTTGGTAGAGGCACTCTTGCTCATCATGACTATGCACTTAGTTAGTTTATTTAATACCTAAGAACAAAGAAGAAGATTTTCAAAGAATTCATGTATTTTCACTATATATTCTATAGAGCCCCACCCTAACACCAGAACCCCTGACCCTAGGGCCATAAATTTCACAATTTTGGTAGAGGCGCTCTTGCTCATCATAACTATGCACTTAGTTTATCCATTTAATACCTAGGAGCAGAAAAGAAGATTTTCAAAGAATTCATGTATTTTCTCTATATAATCTATAGAGCCCCGCCCTAATACCAGAACCCCTGACCATGGGGCTATAAAATTCACAATTTTGGTAGAGGCACTATTGCTCATTATAACTATGCACTTAGTTGGTTTATTTAATACCCAGGAGCAGAGAAGAAGATTTTCAAAGAAATAATGCATTTTCCCTATATACTTATTTAGCCCCGCCCTAGCACTAGGGTCATGAATTTCACAATTTTGG